TTTTGAACTTAAATTATGTTTTTCAATTGAAGTGGAAGGGAAAAAAACAGGACACAGAGGTTGACATCAAGCAAGCTGGAAAATTGGGTACTTAAGGGCTGATTCCTAGTTTTTTTGTGAGGAAGTTACCACAGTGGCACTGTGTAACTCACAGCTTAAGTTTTTCTTTTTCATCTGAGAGGAATAATTGGTAATCTTTTGGAAAATTTCATAACACATCAGACTTACAGTTAAGATGTGGCTGGGGACATTTTGGTCACCTCTTCAGAGAAGCCTCTTAAGGAAAAGCCATGTCTAAAAATGCCCCTTTTCCTTAAAGAATGGTGGCAGAACTACAGTTGGGTGTTCTGTACTTCTTGAGACTGAATGGATCTGGAGGTAGATAGAGAAAGTTCGTTTTGAGTGCATTCTGTCTTCTCAAAGGAAAAATATAGCAAGGTACATAGCAAGGTATTTGTTCAGTATATTTTTTTTATTAGGCTTCTTCTTCCCTATGGTTTTATCTCCCTGCACAGTTAAGGACTATTTATTTAACTTAATCTGTGGAAGGTGTTGTGATTTTAAGCACTTAATCTTATTTCATGTTTTCAGAACTGAGTGTGACTTTCTTTCTCTTCCAGGACGCCGACGAGGGAAATCCAACCACAACGATTTGCAGACTGGTAAGATGTCCCGCCTGTGTTTTATCAAGTGCTGTGTGTTCTGGAAGTCTCACACAGAAGGGGTTTTCAAAGGGTCTACTGTTCTATAGTTGCTTCTGAAAACCAACAGATAGTCTTAGGATCTTTGATCTAGGCCATGGCAATAGGAGATTGGTTTGGGCTGGGTACACTCAGCTTTCCACCAGAGAATGTAGCTACGTCTGCAAACCTCTTGAAGCTGGTGTATTATTTTTGTGTGGTGAAATTCAGTGACTCATCTGGGCACTATTATAAGTCACAGCTCTCCTGTCTGTACTTTTGTATTAAATTTATGCAATGAGATGTTGTTCACATGCATTACCAAAATAGCATTCAAGCTGGTAGTCACTAGAACCTTTTGTTAATGTCTGTGTTGATTACTGCTGACTTGCACCATTGCAGTTTTGGGAATGTGGCTGGAATTAATATTTTTCTGTCTTTCATCAGCACCATATACCGACCTCTCCCTGCCGCCCTTGAAGCCCCGGAAGGTCTGGGTTGTGTACTCTGCTGACCACCTGCTGTACGTGGACGTGGTGCTGAAGTTTGCTGAGTTTCTGATGACAGTCTGTGGCACTGCCGTAGCCTTAGACCTGCTAGAAGATCATCAGATCTCGGAGTTAGGGCCGCTGCCCTGGCTTACTCGGCAGAAGAAAGAAATGGAAGACCTGTCTTCAAAGATCATCATCTTGTGTTCTCGGGGCACCCAGGCCAAATGGCAGGCCATGCTTGGGAGTGAGCCTGTGTGTCTCAAGCAAGATCAGCAGAAGCCAATGGGAGACCTGTTCACCCCGGCCTTGAATTTGATCCTGCCAGATTTCAAGAAACCAGCCTGCTTTGGGATGTACATAGTCTGCTACTTTGAGGGAATAAGTAGTGAGAAAGATATACCTGATCTGTTCAATGTCACATCCAGGTACCAGCTGATGGACAAGTTTGAGGATATTTATTTTCGGATTCAGGATTTGGAGAAGTTTGAACCTGGGCGGATCCATCGAATCCAGGAAATCACGGCTGAAAATTACGTTGATACCCCCAGTGGGAGGAAGTTGAAAGAGGCCGTACAGAAGTTCAAGAACTGGCAGACTGAGCACCCAGACTGGTTTGAGAGGGAAACCATCTGCTTGGATAATGATGAAGAATTGCATTCCCTAAACAGAGAGAGCCAGGTGGATTCACTGCTGAGTGAATCAAGCGGGATTGTGAAACACCAGCTGCACCTACGTGAGCCTGACCCCAACTGCTGTTATGTCATCAACCTCCACATGCATGAAGGTGAAAACGCAGGCTGTAAACTGCAGCCTCAGCTTAATCCATGTGGGGATCCAACTTCTCAGACTGTGGTCCTTCCTCTGGATGAGGCTCCTCTAGTTCAGGTAGTGGAGCCAGTCTCTCCTGTGGAAGATAGAAATATACTTAGTCATCATGTGCTGAGTAATGAGGAATGTATGGAAGGAGTTCCTCTTCTGGAGACAGGCTTTCCAATGAGGAATAACATCATCCTCCATGATGACACTGACGTTTCAGCAGTAGCTGACCACAGTCCTGCAAACCTCTCAGGTGAACTGAGGGACCAGCTGAATGGATTTATGTACCCTCTTTACCAGCAGAGTGTCATTCCTTCAGAGCCATATCTCTGCCAAGAGGAGCCTGACAGGCAGCACCAGTTGGTCTTCGATGAGCAGTGCAAAGACCAAAGACAGTCAGTGCAGTCGGACCAGGGCTACATCTCTAGATGTTCTCCTCTGCCTCCTGATGACCTTGTAGAGGAGGAGGAGGAGGAAGAGGAGGAGGAGGATCAGGAAAAACAGGTGGTCTTCCATGAACTCTCTCCAGAGGTCTTGGACAGTCTAAGGAGCCTCCAGAAGCAACTGTTTTTCCAGGACATTCAGAGGAGCTCTAACTGGAGCTATCCAGCTGAGGTGATGGACATTGGCCAGTCTCTGGAGGACTGTTAGGTTCTGTCTGGGGCCTGCTCCATTTGAAACACAGGGATGGAAGGTGGTCCCATGCAGAATACTGAAACTGCATTTCCAACACCATCCTTGTCCTTGTGTTGTAAATGACTTAGCAGTGGGATCTGCCTGCTTGCTGCTGGGATGCAGGGTTGCCCAGCAGTCTGGTGATGTTGCTTCCAGTCTCTGTGGAGAGAAGCAAAGAATATTGGCCACCTCTGTGAAAGAGCAGGCAGTAGCTCTGTTCCTTGGGGAAAGGCATTACGTTGAATCCTCACTGATGAATGGCAGAAAAATTACTGTGGCTCATCCACTCATGCCTTCAAAATGCCCTCCAGCTGTACTGATTCTATTGCACTGGATAAAAGTCATGGCCAGGGTTTGGAAAATAGATTCAGATAGCATGGGGAAATGTACATTGCTGTTTTCATGCACATTTTAAATGTTTTGTTGTAAATACTCTGTTCAAGATGTGTGCCTTACATCTCAGCTAGGTCAGTGCTGTCTCTACCTGGTTGATACATGTGCCTGAAGACTTTCCTTTTCCTACTTATCCATTAATCTGCAACTGCATTTCCATGGTCATTCAGAAACCAAGTGGAATAACTGAGCAGTAAGTGGGATAAACTTTTAAATTGTGAGTCTTCATAATTCTCCCTGCCTTCCTCATGGAGGTATGGGCTTGAAAACTAGCAATAGCAGGAAGCGGGGAAGGGGAGATAATGGACCAAAAAATGTAATTTGGAGTTGTTGCACAATTTTAAGAAAAATCTGGGACTAAATAGAGAATCATTGAATCAGTAATCTGGTATTGAATCAGTAATCTGGTATATCCTCCAACACAGTGCTGCAGTGCTGTTTGCTTTTGGGTATTTTGGCACCAGGGAGATGTGAACGGAAGATGTAGATAGTGACACACAATTAAAGAAATGAAAGACTGTTTTGGAGGAGAAAAAAGCACAGCTTCAGCAGATGCTGTTTTAGAGCAGAGGTTATATCTGAGTTAGGGGAGGTTGAATGAAAATGACTGTAACGTGCTTGTGTGGGTATAAACTCAAACACAGTAGTTCAGGTTAATCGTAGTGAAATACTGAATAGACCAAGGGGTTCATCCTCCAGGAGCTGTGATGGTAACTGTCAATTCAAGTGGTTTTTAAAAATCAGGCTGGATGCACTAGAAAAATTGTTCCCTGTGAGTGATGGCACGTTGGCCCTTGTAGCACTGGCTGGGTAGCAGACTAGCTGAGGTTGGCATTTGCCTTGTTTCTTATTACTGTTTCTGCAGCCCACTGGATAACAGCCTGTGAGATGTAAATACAGCCAGGTCTTTCTCCTGTGCCTTCAGACGAGCTTGTCGTCTTCCTGTCCTTCAAAGTTTACTTGTCAAAAAATGTTAGGATAATTTTATTTCAGCTCTTTAAAAGTCTGATGTATCAGAGAATAATCTGGTGGGTTTTTTTACTTGCAATGAATATTTTATTATGTATATTTTATAATTTTGTAAATTGTTCTTAAATTAAAAACCAATAATACCTTTGGAATATATTTACTTAAACAGTTCTGTGTCCTCCATTCTGCCTAACTCCTTATGTTAGTATGTGTTGTAGAAATCTGAAGCAAAGCTGAGCCAAACGGAACTGGCTCCCAAATGCCAAAATGTTCCTGCAAAGCATGGCAGCTGTACTGAGTCAAGCTGGATACAACTGAGGGCCCTCACCTCTGGGAAGGGCACATCCCTTCAAGAGGAGTGTTAAAGGAACTGTGAGTAATTCCCGTGCAGGACTGCTCCATGAGGCAGGACTGCTAAGACAGCTGCTTTCTCTGCAGCCAGATAACAAAGGGACAGTCCCTGCAGAGATCCAGACTTGAGACTGGGAGCCTTCCTGCGTGTACAGGATCTAACCCAGCAGGAGCTCAGCAAGAGGCAGCTGTGATCTCAATGCTTCTCCAGTGAGAACCCATTTCCCAGATTATGTGAGTAATTGCCATCTTGATGATCCCACTTCTACAAGTTTCTTTTATCTTACAGCAATTAACATGTAAATCTGATTTTTTTTTCCCCATGAGTCTTTTTCAAGTGGTATGAATTCCTATAAATCACTTAAATAGGAAGCTCAGAAGTGTCATCTGGATTTTCTTGCCTTAGTCATTCCCTTCTCAAATAACTCCCTTGGTGTTACAGCTTTTAGAATATGCTTTCACTTAACAAAAAGTTTGTTTGAAGGGAAAATCCAGATGCTATTTTAGCAATCCAATATGAGGAAAACAAGTAACTTTAATATATCTACTGGTCCCTGAATACAAAATTGAATAGCCCAGCAAGATTCAAAGGAGAGAAAAAAAAAAAAAAAAAAACAGAGCAAAATCAGTCACAAGTTTCTAACTTTATTTTAACAATCTTGCTTTTTAAAAAATACAAGTTCTAATTAATGCCAGGGGGATGCCAAGTGTCCATCGGCCACAGGCCTTATCTCTCACTTCAGTTTCCCCTCCTGGGAGTAGTCAACTCCTTTGTCAGGATAGCAAACAAAGAGCAATAAAATTCTAAATAACTGAGTAGTGTTACAAGGCTTGTGACAGAATCCCAAGGGACCTGTGTCTCAGTATGGCACAACTTTGTTTAGCAAAGTGTTAGTGACCTGGAGCAGTAATTTAGTGTTGGGAGAATGTACAGGAGGTGTGCAAGGTGCATCAAGAGAGGTATTGCTTGCACTTCAATAGTACCACTGTCTCTCTCTTCTGCAAACGGAACGGTTACGTGGCAGAAGGGTTTAAATGGAAGAGTAAGCTCAGTTACCAAAGAGAAAGAAATTCAAAAGGTGGAGCAGGCTTATAAAGAAGACATTGAAGAGCTTTAAATGGTTTTCTGTAGGAAGTAATTGCAGTAGCAGCAGAGGTGCCCTTTTAGTTGCAAGGAGGCTTCTGTATAGCCAACTACTACTCGAGCTTTTTACTCTCCAAACAGCACATCTACTACCAGACTAGAAACCATGGCATCACAAAGAACAACCTTTTCTACCAAGGAATTCTATACAACTGAAACATCATTTTGCAGGGTCGTCTGTCCCAGGCAACCTTTTCATCCATGGACAAATTTGAACTGCGATTTCACTGCCAATGGTTTAAGTATGCCATGGCTGGATAAATTTCAAATATGCCGTTTTTCTCCATAATGTCCTAACTGGAAAAAGGCACTCACTGTTGAAACAGCAACTTTATGTGCTATGAAGGGGTACTGAAGTAGGACTTGATAATAATTCTGCTGTGATTCTTCTAGTGTCTCAACTATGTTCACACTTCAGTGTATTAGGGGTTAGCACTTTGGTGCTATCGTGAAGTTGGCCATAGGAGCAGCAAAACATAGTTGGTGAATAGCTTTTTTCCTTCCCCTTGTATTTGGCAATGTTGGTTGTTTTGGGATTTATTTTTTATTTAGCTGTTTGACTGAAACATGGAGTACACCTAGGTTCAGGTATCACCCCAGTCTCTCTTGAGTAATTATGTCTGAGATTTTACTGTCTACTTAATGCTGAAAAAGGAAGGTGCAAGGAAACAAATATCTGTACAAGCGTAATACACCTGTAATTACACCTCCTTTGGCCAGGAACGTAGCATCCCCTCGACACATTTCACATCACACAGGAAAAGTTCACAGTACCAAGTTTTACAATCACAGTCACTCACAGCACCAAGATTGTCCAGACAAGAAGAAGTTACCGAAGAGAAAGGCCACTGGCCAAAATTCACACAATTGCCCATGTAAGGGCTCAGGTAATAAAGCACTGGTGGGAAAGTTAAGCCTAGCCTTTGCCAGCTCTCCATTTGGCGTGAGGAGAGCAGCAAGTCCCCCATCCTAGCTGCACTTCTGAACAGAACAGCACTATTGACCCATCTTTTCCAAGGGCTTTTCTAGCCCCTCAAAACCCACCAGCCACTGAGAGCTGGGGAAGAAGAGCCCCAGGGCATCTCCGCTTCTGCCTCTGGGAGCTGGAAGTTACCAGACTGTAAACATTTTGTTGTAGCAGTCCACTGGAGCAGGCAGTTGATCCCACTCTGTGAAAAGGAAGGTGGGACAGAGGGCTCAGTCCCACTGAAGCCCAAGCCCTGAAGGAGAGAATGAATGTGTGTGCGGTAGAAGTCTGGGCTGTGCCTGCAGTCCTGCTCTGGGTAGCAGTTGGTTGTGCTTTATTTCCCCTTCCCCTCAGGACAACTTGAAAAAAAAAAAAAATTTGGGACAGGAAACTGTCATTTTTCATAATTATTGCAGCCTTGCCCAGATAACAAAACATAAGCCTGGGAGGGGCAAAGTTCTTCCTCCGAACGTGGCCTCTGTGCTCCTGCTCCCATGGGGCTGGTTTCAGGAGCAGCTGCAGCCAGGCAGAAGAGCAGGCCTTAACCCCACTGAACATTCATGGAGCTTAAAACCAAAGAAAACTGTGTTTCTATGAGAGGTTACTAACAATTAGCTTTTTCCCCTGCCTATCCTAAACCACATGCACAAGGAGGACAGGATGCTGATACGTGGGCTTCCACCAAAGCTCGAGGAGCCCCTCTGCCTCGAGGGCTCCTGCAGCACTTTGCTTTCTGTGCTGAAAAGTGAGGTTCGCTGAGCATGGGGCCCACGCCGAGCAGCGCCAATGTCCTCTGCTTTGCTGTTTGAGAGGGAGCAGCTTGCAGGCTTAACCCTGTCTCCACTCTCTCAAGCAGGCATGGAAGGCGGCCAGAGGAAATCTTTCCAGCCTTTCTGGCTGTGTAAAGGAAGACCCTACGCTTTGTGTAAAAAGAAAACCAATGCAGATCCCATAAACATGCATATTCACAGAGAAATGAGAGCCCCAGCACCTGCGGATGCAAGCAGTAGGCTGCTGTAAACCCTGTTCTCACCAGAAATAAATGTCTTGGTGGATATGAAATGGGGCCTAAGCCCCGGTTCATGTCCATGCTGGATTCGTGTTTCTTCAGCATGTGAAGTCAGTGTAAGATGCAAAAGGTTGAAGCACAGAGGTAGACATTTTTGGCTAGGAGAAGGTGGCTCATGGGCTTGAAGTGACCAGTTGGCCAGCGTGCTTCCAGAGGTTCCCCAGCTGGGATGCAAAGGCCTGGGAAACGGAGGCAGCAGCTTTGCAAGACCTAGGGAAACCAAAGCGTGCTTCCTTCTGTCCTTCTTCCATCCCGGAGGAACGTCTCTGCTGGTCAGGCCCCTCTCGCATCTCATTGTGGGCAGCAGGAGTTCTTAAAAGAGAGGAGAAAATGCACTGGTCCCTGTTGTTTAGGAGGAAAAGGAAAAACTGTACTTTTATGGTCTCAATGCAACACAATGTCCTGGCAGGGAACGGGAGGGGAAGAGTGGGACCCTCCAGACAGGGGAGAGACAGAAGCACTCGAAGTCCTGTCGTGAAGGGTAGGTGCGTTTTCCAGGGACAAGTGTCATCCGTAGGCTCCTGCAGGTAGTCGGGTTTGTGCGGAGCTTCCGCTGCTGGATTCATCCATGAGAAAGGGAGGAGGGGAGTGGGAGTCTGGCAGGGAAGCCCACGTCCCCTTCCCCTGCTCGGCCACGGAGGCGGGAACCTGAGCAGAAACGCAGAGAGACTGCCGGGAGTGGACCCGGAGGCGGCGGGAGCCCCTCCGGGCGCGGCGGCCAGGGGTGCTCAGCCCTGGGCGGTGACCGCCAAGGCGTTCACGTACCCGTGGGGTCCCACGTCCACGTCGGAAAGCCCGTGGGCTAGGGGGGCTGCGGCGGGGGCGGCGGCGGCGGGGCCGTACTTGGCGGGCGGCGGAGCGGCGGCGGGGCGGAGGAGGCAGCAGGTCTCCAGCGCCTCCAGCCCGCGGCAGGTCAGGAAGAAGAGGTTCTTCAGCATGAAGAGGGAGAGCGGCTGCTGGTAGCGCAGGAGCAGGAGGCAGCGGAGCGCCAGGAGCGGCGCGTCCAGCAGCCCGGCGGGCAGCAGGAGGTGCAGGGCGAGGCGGGCGGCCCCGGGCGGGCGGGCGGCGCTGAGCTCGTAGAGCCACAGCACCGGCGAGGCCAGGCAGAGGAAGTAGACGGCGATGAGCAGGTAGCGCAGCGGGGCGGGCAGCGGCGCCGGCCGCCCGGGCTGCAGCACCAGCTCCAGCAGGGAGAAGCTGTCGAGCAGGTCGAGGCAGGTGGCGAGGAAGGCGGCGGCGGCGCGGTGCTGCGGCGGTGGCTGCGGTGGCAGGAGCAGCTGCCCGGCGCCTTCGGTGCCGATGGCCCGCAGCAGGCAGTACAGCAGCGGCGCGGACAGCGCCAGGGTGATGCGGAAGCCGGTGGTGCCCATCGGCAGGCGCAGCTCGATCAGCTCCAGGATGGAGGTGCCCAGGATCAGCGCCGCCTTGGGCGTGAAGGCGATGGAGTAGATGAGCCAGGCGAGGTGCGCGTAGGCGAAGTCGCCGCCGCGGGGGGGGACCCCGGCCCCGCGGCCCCCGGCCCCACGGCCGCCGGGGGGGCCGTGCAGCAGCAGTGGGTGCGGCGGCGGCGGCCCGGGGGGCGGCGGGGGCCGCTCCCGGCGGCGCGCCCGGCTGTTGCGGCAGAAGAAGATGCCCCAGCCGGCCGCCAGCACCAGGTCGGTGGCGATCCAGCTGCACCAGTACAGGTCGGTGACGGCGATCAGATAGAGGTCCAGCAACGCGCCCTGCCCCAGTAGCAGCACCAGGGACAGCGCCTGGAAGCCCCAGCGCCTCCCGCCCCCTGCCCCGCCGGGCCCCAGGAGCGCCCCCGCCGCCGCTCCGCCGCCCCCCGCCCCGCCGCCAGCCGCCGCCGCCCCGTACAGCTCCGCCGCCGTCATGCTGCGGCCCGGGCTCCCGCCGCCGCCTCCGCCGCCGCCGCTGCTGCTGCTGCTGCTGGGGAGCGGCGAGGCGGCGGCGGGCAGCGGGGTGGCGGGCGGCGGCACCAGGGGCTTGCTGATGCTGATGCTGTCCTCCTCCTCCTCCTCCTCTTCCTCCTCCTCTTCCTCGGTGCTGCTGCGGGGGCTGCGGGGGCGGGGGGCCCGCTCCGAGCCCGAGCTGGACCCCGAGCCCCGCCGGCTGCCGCCGCTGCTGGAGCCCCCCGGGAAGAGGGGCTGCCGATCGGCGGCGTGCGGCGGCAGCGGCGGCGGCGGCGGCGGCGGCGGCGGCGGCGGCTGGAAGGAGCCCGAGGAGGAGGAGACCGAGCGCTGGTTGGAGGCAGCGCGGTGCATGGTCCTCCCCGGCCCCCGAGCCGGCACGCCGGGCCCGACGGCCGCGCCGCGGCCCCCGGCCCGCCCCCCGCCCGCCCCCCGCGCCCCGCGCCGCCGCACCGGGCCCGGCAGCGGCAGCGGCAGCGGCTGCGGTGCCGAGAGCCCGAGCGGCGGCAGCCGGGGGGGAGCCCGGGGGCGGCGCCGCGCTGCAGCAGCAGCAGCTGCCGGAGCCGGGGCGGGCGGAGGGGAGTGGGATGGGGATGGGGATGGGGATGGGGGAGCGGTTGCGCGGCCGGGGGAGGGGAGGAGGAGGGCGGACAGGGGAGGGGGAGGAAGGCGCCCCCGCCCTTGTCCCCGGGGCTGCCATAGAGCCACATCTCGGGGAGCGTGGCCCCGCTGCCTCCTGCCCCGTAGAACCCCCGCGGATGGAGCTGGCAGGGCTTGGGCTAGTCGCCCATGGACATGTCACAGCATCCAGGCAGCCACTCCATAAATGCTCCGCTTCCATAAAATCGGAATTCTTTCCCTCTCTCCTGGTCTCTCTAGGCTGACCAAGACAAAGGCCAATTGGCCTGGCACAGAGCCTGCAGTGAAGAACTCGCAGCTCCTCATCTGTGCTGCTGGACACTCATCTGCCCCTGCGTTCAGTCTGCTGTAAGTATTTGTTCATCAGAGGAAGCATCTTTGAACTCACCAGTTTCCTGGGTCCCTGCCCATCTTACCATGATGGTTTTAAATTTATGTGAATAGCCCTGAAGTTCCTACTTCTTCTGAAAGCACCAACTGGGACCTTTATTGACTCACAAATAATGGCCTTGAATTGAGCTTGGCTGGCTGGATCTGCCCACCACCAGCACCAATGACTTAGTACATCACGTTTCAAAGTGGCTTGACGCTCAGCATGACTAGTCCCTCATTCCTACCTGTGCCTGCCAGTGATGAGCCAGGTGCTACCTGTCAGTGATGTGATGCCCATCAAATAAACTGTACCCCCAACTGTTTGTATTAGCTACACTTTGTGATAAAGATCCAGAATAACTTGATTTTTGAACATGTTGCTAAATCAATGCATGGGGCTGAGCAAAACACAGATGCTTGGTACTGGGAAATGACATCCAAGACAGCAGTGACAATCATCTAAGACATGTTGGTGCAGGCTCCCTGAGGAGCTCAACTCCAGTCACTGTCCCTGGATTTCTGCTCTTGACAACAAGGAGAAATCAGTCTGGGGTACTAGACGAATTCATACTTAAAACAAAGAAATAATTGAGAAAGGGAAGGAGAGAACTTGAGCTGGGTTGACACAAAGATTTCTTTAGACACACAGCAATGATCAGGAGGAAAAGCAGAATAAGAAGAGTCACAGCAAAAGCATTGCTGCCAATGGAGCTCTGAGCGAGGGGGCACAGACAAAGCAGTTTTCTAAAAGCATGGTCAAAACAGAGAGAAAAGGAGAAGGTAATTGGAGGCTGTGCAAGCTTTAACACAGTTACTTGGGCAGCACAGTACTGAAACGGTACCACCTCTAAACTGGGGTAGCAACACGCAGGTGTTCCCATGGTCTCCCACACTGGTTGCTACCCTGCTTCTTTGTCTGGGCTGCTGCATCCCTGCTGCCGTAACCTGCATGGCTGGGTTGCAGTTAGGATGGGGGACATCTATTTTCTGCTACACTCACATTATGTTTTCTACGCTTGGATACACTTGCCAAGGATCAGCCTTGCATCAGCGCTACTCCTGTCATTGCCTGCCTCTAACTCACCTTGTCATCGTGCCTCGCATCAGAGGACACTGAACACGCATGCGCTCTCTTTCTAAGGGCTTTCTCGCTAACTCCACCTTTCCATTAGCAAATAAAAGTACTTCATTCTAAGAAGGTCAGTAATCACAGCATATCATAAGGAACATGAGCATCCAAAAGAACAGTCTGGCCTGGAGGGTGGTGAATGGGCTGGTGCATCCAAGCCTGGTGCCAGGATTCACCCCAGGGCAAAACAGGCAGGACACCTACATAGATGCTCATGGAAGGCCCAGGATGCAGCAGGCAGTACCACGAGCTCTGTAACTCTGAGAAGCATCACTGGCATTTGCAAGTTTAAGATCAGGTGAGTCCAAGGAGGGCTGTTGCCGTTTATTTTCCCAGCAGGTGACTGTGTGGCAGCCTGAGCCAAGGACCTCTTACAGCAGGCTCCCAACAGCACTGTATTTAGTCTGGGCACCTTGTGGGCCTCTGCCAAGGTCCTTGACCCAGGCATCACACCTCTGGCACCCCCTCTGCCACATGGAGCCACAGGGCTGCCCTTCCCCAGGGGCCGCTCCCCATGATTCACATCTCACGTCAATGCCTGGGAGGTGCTGCCATGTTGCTGCCTCCATGGTGACACAGGTGACACTAGTCCCTCTGCATTGTGGGGGCCCACAGCAACCTATCATGGGAAAATGGCAAGATTTTGTGTGATGGAAGCAAGACAGCCGGGCAGCTTATTCTGAGCTCATTCAAGATGCAAAAGGACAGTGAACAGTGAGCTCCGTCTCGCTTCTTTTCCAGACACGCTCACATTATGCTGGCTTTGCTCTCCAGGCTCTCAGGGTGTGTGGACTGTATCAGGGATGAAAGCACTGCACCTGGGCTCTGCTGCTGAGCACTGTGTGTTTTGCTGGCAAGGCTTTGTCTCTTTGACAGACTTCGCTGCCAAAGACAAATCCCTGACCAAACAATTGCTTGGACTGCAATTCTTGTACAACGCCGCTAACACTTCGCTTAGGGCTCTGCGGATGGTCTCTGTTTTCTGGGCAGCAAGAGGCTCGAGGCCAGGCCAAGGAGGATGATTGCTGCCTGTATCACTCTTTCATGTTTGAGCAGGGCCCAGCGCTCCTTGACAGATGTCCGGAGTTGCCCAGTTCAGGATGGCTCAGAGTGGCAGTGGGGGTTTGTGAACAGCACCAACCGTGCCTCCTGATTTGGTTTCCACCAAAAGGCTGGGTAAGATGGCAGTGAAAGTGTGTCTGGTCCAGGGTAGAGGGCATAACCACTTTCTTGTGTTCTGGATCCTGGCCTTTATCTAAGGTGAGTGCATTCACCTGACACTTCTCAGGGTAAGCCAGTACTTGTGTCACTGGCACAATTCATGTGTGGTCAGTCCTGAGAATTAACTAGACTGGTATTGCTCCTACCACATTCACTGTTCCACTGGAAGAAGAGTTTTCCATTGCTATGAGAGGATGTGGAGTGAAAACCAAGCACCCATCTGGACTGCTCAGTGCAACAGCTGAGAGGGCTGGTCCTGCCCTACCTGGGCAGGAGACGGTGACAGCTCTGCCTCGTTGGCTCTCATCCTCTGGGTTTCCTGGGCAATGCGATTCCCTGTGTGCCACAGACTGGGCATGCTCAACTTAGCCTGGCCCTGGCAGCCTGCCAAAGACACGCACATCTCCTCTGCTTTCAGTGGAGAAGCTTTGTTTCACAAAGGCTGTCTGGTGCCTGTCCCACCTGCTTGACTAAGTGCAATTGGGTGGGGATCCCCAGGCTTTGGGAGGGATGGGCTCTTACCCACAGCCGGGCTGCTATCAGGGGAAATGGGCTCTGACCTGGCAAGCAGGTGGTGTGGTGAGCCCAGCCCAGGGGAGCCGGGGTGGAGCTCTGTGCTAAGTGAAGGGGCACCTCCTGCACTCCAGGATCACAGTCCTGCTGGGCTGAGGCTGAGCAGGACAAGAGAAGGTTTATGGAAACAGCTCTCCAGAGCTCAAAGGAGACCTGTTGGGGCTGTGAAGGTCCCTGTGTCAAAGGTGGGCAGGTGGGAACAGGGACCTGCAGCTATAGGGTAGCTCTGAGCAGGGATGAGGGAGCACCAGGACGGAGGGTGGGAGCTCAAGGGCTTCGTTGGGCTGACCACAGGCTCCAGCACTGCAAAACCAACCCAAGCAAACAGGTGAGAATAAGAAAAGAGCTCATGTGTGGGAAAGGAAGCAGAAATTGAGCCTGTGCCTTAAAATGGGAGTGAGAGGAGAAATTTCTTCTACTCGAGAAGGCACTGAAGAGCTTTTTGTAGCACACTGTAGGATGAGATGTGACAAGCTGATGCTTCCCATGTGATCTGGTTATTTAATGCACTGTGCAGTCCTTGGAAGTGTTAGTGCTTAACTATTACTGTTAAAACATTAAAAAGCTAAGCTATAAATAGCTTCTACTCTTCAGCAACTCCCAAGCTATGTTTCTGGGTTCTTTATGTATTGATGTGTATGTATAGTGATGTGTGTGTATACTTAAATTTAAAGGCAAGCAGCAGACAACAGAGTTTTGTGAAACAGTCATACTGAATATCTGAACTGCTATCATTTCTAGTTTACACTGGTACTGGAAACAAGTAGTGTGCCCTCATATATACCCCTGCTGGGGAAAGGCAAAACTTTCTTGAGGGCTGAACTCAGGAGGAAACAAAATAATGACTCAAGTTCTTGGGGGAAGGGAAAGGGGAAAAAAAAAAAAAAAAAGGCAAAAAAAAAGGCACATATATGCCTGAAAGAAAGACCAGAAACTAAATACCTAATTATACCCTGCAGTAAGCTGTCAGAAACTGGCAGCAGTGGGAGGGAAGGAGGCAAAGCTGATCTCAGTGAGTTTGAGCATAATCTGCTCTTACCATACTTAAAATGCCTTTTGTGTGGGAATGGAAGGTTCTGGGATTCTCTGACACATGCTTTGTCCTGCACTTATCTAATCCATTCAAACGGTCACGGCTGAAGTTACAGACAAGTGTAAAAGAGTCTCACCTGGCCAGCACCAAAATTCAACAATTGCCTCAGCTTCTGAATGCAGTCTTTGTAACTGATCCAGTATTACAGTTCAGGGAACACAGATACTCTTCAAAAGGATGTACAAGCGTAACAGGCTGTTGCTGGTAATTACATTTCGGTTCAAAGAGTTTTCGATGCCAGCATAAAATGCCAAGACATTTCTTCCCATGCTTGTAGCAGGGTAGGGGTTTGGAGAGTGCATCTGGGGTTTGATCTTGTTATTTTGTACCTCCTCAGTCTTAGCATACAGTGTGTATTGAACTGACCCCGAGGAGAAAATTCTTAGCAGTTGAACTGAGTGAAAGGGAAAAGTGGGTTTGTTATGAGACAAGTGTTTTCTCATTGGAAGTTTGGTATCTGGAGAACGTACAGCTGCCTTGCTGATGTGGGGTTTTAAACTGTTGCAGACTGCATCTGTAAAGGTCCTGAAGTGCATACTTTTCATCAAATTGACTGTGACAGTAAAAAACATAAAGACTTGTGCTTTTACAATTAGAGTTAGAAAGATTCAGTAATAGAAGGATTTGGGCGGGCCCCCAAAGGCAACAGAGTTATCAGGGCAAGCAGGTAACTGGGTGGCTTGTGTTCAAGCCCCACCAGTATCTAGACACTAAGCAGTTTCCAGGGGTTGCCCTGGTAGGCACTTCTCACAGCACTCAGCTAGGAACAAACTCCAACTTCAATAGGGCTCCCAATCCTTTTGCTCAAGTTGGTTCTTCTTCACTGTTTCACAGTGCTGGTGTTTAACTCTGCATCCTACATTGATTGAGGATTTCTATAGGACTTTACCTTCCAGCTATGGCTGCCTCCAAGGGACACCTGTGATAGTTTTAGTCTAGGCCTTCCTGGTGACCAGTTTGTAACCAAGGAAGTAGCCAAGTACCCAGTATTCCATACGATTTTTATGTAAACCAGAGTATAAATAAGTCGGAGATTAGAGACTTCTCTCTCTTCTCTTCCGGCGAGGTTTGGGAACAGTGGGTCCCTGCGTTAGTCTTGCTTATCTAAGGCTGAGGCCTGCAGAGTCCACCGTCCTACCACGTGGAGGTTTGGAGAGTGCTGGCCGTGACTGCCGATCTTGCTGTTCTAAGGGACGTGGTGAGATCTATTTTGTTAGTTATTAGTATAGTTTTTGAGTTTGATCTAGTATACCTGTTCAGTGTCCCTTTTATTCCCTTTCATCCCCTTTTTTTCCCTTTCCCTATCCCTTCAGGGGGTGGATCCCCTTTTACTGTGTATATAGCATATCAACTGTACATAACTGTAATTTACGTAAATATAGATATATTTTTATATAAGGAGCTTGACTTTGAGTTCCTTTAATTTTTATAATTTCTTTTCCTTTAACCTAAGGGAAGAAAGGAGGGGGGAAGGGGGCTGCTGTCATAACTTTCGAGCATTTGACAGGAAGCCAGGTCCAAAACGACACAACACCTTAACCCCAAGGCTGCCCTCTTGCTTGGACAACAGCGTAGTGATTTAAAGCATTCATCTGAGAGGATCAGATTGTAATCTCTTTCTGCTTAACTAAATCTTGATATGACCTATCTTGAGTGTGTGTTCCATCTACCAGAGTACTTGATAAAAGGAGGATGCTGGTTAAGACTTTTTATTATTACAGGTCAGGACCAGAGGTCATTTCTCCAGGATGTAGAATATAATTCTATTCCTCTCCCTGCTAAGAATGGGAGTCCTCGCCGCTTTACTGATCATTGCTTTCAACACCAAGATCTCAGGGCTCTGCACACGCTTGTTTTGCTGTCCAATGTGCCTCCTGTGAGCTGTGAACTTTGTAGATGGAAAACTTTCTGATGGAATATGCTGTAAGAACAATGCAAGTGAATTGGCTATTTCTAGATCATTAAAAATTAATGTTTCAACCTGGAATCTTTAATTTTCCATTTGCTGAAGCCAGTGGATGCTTTTGGCTTTAATCTGAAAGTCTGCCAGTTAATATATGTCTCCCTAATTCCTCACCTCTTTTAAAAGGTGCCAAAGCACGGCTCCTGTCAAACAAGTTGGGTTTCTTTTACGATCACAAAGGATTTAACATTGAGTCAAGTAAGCTTCCAGTGATAAGGATGGCTTTCCCTAAATCCTTAGGCTTGTTGTTCATCTGCAATAGCAGATTAGGTTGGTGGCATCAAGCTTGTGGCTTCCCCACACAGTGGACTTAATCGTTACAAACAACTGCTTAGGTCAGGTCACAACTCTATGCCTACCCTGAAAGTATCTCACATATGGGTGGCATCCCAAAATTCGCCTTGACTGTGAACAGTCAGAACACAGCTTGTGATGTGTCCTTTCCCCAACTCTGCGAAGGAGGTTGCACCCATCTCACCTGACTGTGGCAGATGTAGAGTTCACAGGATTGGCTCAGTCAAAAGAATTGCTGGAGAGGTGTCTTTCAGAGTAGTCCCCTCAAGAAAATCTGATAACAGCTTAATGAACAGACAAAAAACCCCCAGCATTTGCCCTAATAATCTTCTGGGGTAAGGATGTGAAAGAGACCAGGATAATAATCATTAAATGTACACACAGCAAGTTAAAATTTATTTCAAAGAAAACATCTTTTATTATTTTACATATGTGCTAGATCAAAGTAGCAACTCTGGAACTGCATTGAAATTAACATGAAATCTAAAATAATCACAGCTTCTGATTTCTCTGAATGATATGTAATCACTCTGCTACAGTGCACAGGACACAATCTGAAACATTAGCCATTTCTTAAAGGGACAAAGACATGGCAGGATTAAGAGTGGAAGAAAGGGGACAGTAGTGTTACATGACTCCCTGAATGCCATGTTAGTAGTTGCATGTGTCCTGTGGAATAAAGGAATTGACTTCTCTGGCCACAGTGTTATTGCATGACATAAAAGCTCTCCATTTCAGATCCAAAACAAGGTCTGTCCCTTGGTTCCTTCCTGCTGTTCCCAGCTGCATACTCCCTTTAGGCCTGACTTACAGCTGTTCATCTCTGGAAGATGGAGTTATGATCAGGCCTTCACCCTGTTTGTTGCATAGGGCAGTGCACCGCATAAATATTAAGGTATTAGATCAGAAGTGAAGTCCCCTCTCCAGCGTGGTCCCATAATCTGCACAGAAGTGCAGATTGATCGCTCCAAATAGAGAAATACGGCCTCAGAAATACCACTTATGAGCAATACACGAGACAAAGGAAGAGTTTTGTTCCTGCCACACTCAAAGCTGATTCCAAGAAGCTGCAATTCCAAGGAAGAAAGGATTTCATTGAATTCTAGCAGCAAGAGATGTCCATAAATGAACTGCAGGTAAGCTAGATGCCTGCACAGCACTCTAGCACAAAACTCGTGGAACAGAAGAGACCTGGCAAACACTTTCATTAATAGAGACCTTCCAGAATCCAGTCAGTGTCTAACAGCAGCTGGAGAAGCCAGATTTCTTACTCCATCCACTGGGTCCATGCAATTCCTAGGCAGGGACTTGGACAAAGTGCACTGTTTCAAGGAGCTGAGAAAGGGAAGGGGGGAAAGGTCTTCGTGTTGCTCAGACCAAGGGTTTGGCTAATTAGTGCACAGAGCAACAAGCAAAATCTTTTATGAAACCTTACTTGGTAAAAATTGGGGAAAGGGTACGAGATTCTTCTAGATTCCCTCTCCTCCCTTCTGTCCAATTTCAACTTGCAAGCAAAGCATTTCTTAAACTCCTTATCACTGAAGTTCCTCCTAAGCATTTTTAAGGCTCCCAGAAGACTGTTTCAACACTAACATGGGGAAAAAAAACAAATCCAGAGCTAAAAGCAGATTTGGAATCTGAAGCAGATTCACATCAGTCAGCTCACCTCCAATACTGTTCCAAAGATGGAGATGCCTGGCTCACTCTCTGTGCAAATGCAAACCTCTTCCTATCTTGAAAGAGGTGCTACCTCCCTCCTCTTGCTACCTACCTCACTTCTGGCTGGTGTGTGTGCCATGCATGCTGATAGGAAATTACTGCTTGGGATTTCTCACCCTAAGGGAAGGCTGGTTCAGCAGCACCTGGTCTTTGAGTAACCAGCACCACAGTTTTTACAAGTAACGAGACAGAGCTCTGCCAAAGGTTGCTGCGCACACAGGTGGACAGACCTCGGTATTTCTGCAGGTAAGTTCCTACCACACTCCAGGCGTGGCTCACATCTACTGCCAGCAACCAGCCCAATGAGGTCTATGAAATCACGGCCTAGAGGACTGTTCCCAACTAATCCTGTGAAAGTGACCACCCAAGTCAGCTAACACTGCAAGCAAAGGGAGCATTCCTCTTTCTGCACTGGATGGCACCTCTGAAAAGCAAGGCTGAGGGACACTCAGCTAGTTTATCATTAAACGTGTTTTGGACCTCCAGTTCCAGGCCTTGCACTCCAGGCCTACAGCACAACTGTGACTGTGGAGATGCACTGAAAGAAAAGGACCTTCCCTATGTTGTATGTGAAGTCCTTCCCTGTGCTTACTCTTCTGGATACTGGAGACAAGCTCTTGTCTTGTGCAACTGGATGAAATGGTAATTTTTCTCTCCACTGAAAGGAAAAGGATCCTAATCTGTGTTTTTCACATTACAGCTGCTTTTAGAAGTAGTCAAGTGATTCTTATCCTGGTGAGACAAAGGAGGACAACCCCAAGCAGTGCTAAGAGAGGAAGAAACTTCCCACTATGTATTTCACAGGAGGAAAATTGATGCAAACAGAGATTTTTCTGCTCCTATTCATAAAGTAAGGGATAGAGAAAGAAAGAAGCCACAGCGAAGGACTTCTTTTGCCTGGGTCACTGACAGAGCATCCAGTCCCCTTTGGGATGCAGAGTCTGGCACAACAAAAGAACAGAGCCTGCACTGCAGTGACCTTCTTGGATTATACATAACTCTTGAGAGGACAGAGAGCTGCTGAAGCAGAACTTCAGTGCACATGGATGCTGAGACTTGAATTAAGAACTCAAACTTCTGCGCAGAACATTTTGTTTGTACCCTGTGTATGGAGCTGCCTGGTAAAGCAGGAGGGAGGGAAGAAGAAGCAGAGCACATCTATTTCTGATCTTTCAGTGTTGTGTGAGATGAGTAGAACTAGGAACACCAACTCAGTTGTGTTGGCTCCAAAGCTTTTCACCATATGCAGACTGATACGTGCTTCTAAAATCACAATGCTCCTCTAGAATTAAGATACTCTTTGCTGGGCCAATCTTTCACATGAGTTTCTCATGCAATCCTTGCTCATCTTCTTTGTAATGTCTACAGAGACACAAGTCTTTATCTTTCTTTGGACAGCCTGAGCTAGGAGAACAGAGGCAACTGAAGGTGGATGTTGTTAGGGACATGGAAATGTTCCTGGGCAGGCAAGTTCCAGCTGCTAGGGGGGACTCTACCTGCATGTTAAAGAGGAGGGAACAGAGGTCAGACTGTATGGGGTATCCCTGAGCTGCAAATCACATGAGAGGAAGAAAAGAAGTGAAATACAGAGAGACATTTGTATTCCTAAAGATGAAGACTGGGGATTTGGGACTCTGGTACCAGCATGGCTTGATCTTCTCTTTAAATCCTTGCATGTAAGGAAGCAGCAAAGGTGGACTGTGACTCTTTCTGTTTAACATTTGTTCCAAATAAGGGCTCCTCATAGAAGCTGTGCCAGCTGGAGCAGGTGGATGTTCATTGCAACAGTTGGGATCAGTGTGGGTGCCAAAAGAGCCTCTTGCTGCAACACTGAGTCCTGGGCAAAGACAACTTTGGAAATTCAGACACTGTGGTAGTTTCCCCTGCTTCTGAGAGCAGGCTGCCGGCTCCCTAGTGGGATGTGAAAAGGTAGGAGTGTTCACAGAATGCTAAATAGGCAGAAGGGAACAATATAACCTTCACCTCAGCCCTGCAGCAAGTTGCTCTGGCTATCGCAGCTTCCTTTGAGGGGCTTTGCCTCTCCGTAGCTGCCAGAGGACTGCAAAACAGGACTTTGTTTCAGACTGACAGTGATGCAGTGGCAAATCCCCGAGCAAACAGAATTTGTTAAAGTCCATAGGCACTTATTCTTTACAAGGAGAGTGTTAAGACTTAAAGCCTTCTCTTGGCACGGTGCCACCACAGCACAGCTTCTGGTGCGCTCGTGTCACAGACTGGGCAAACAGCACATTGTAGGAATGGTACGCTGGCTGACGGTGGCTCCTTGCGCGGGGAAGAGCTTCATCCTCAAACACATCGAGAGGAGGAGGGTGGGCTTGCCTGATCTCCGCACACAAAGGGTGAAAAAGAAAGAACTCTGATAGCTGAACAAAACTGGGGTTGCTGGGACAAGCCTTCTCCCTATACCCTGTTTCCATTACGGCTCAGTTATTGATGGCAGCAATGTACCGTCACGGTCAAAAGCCTGTGGGCAGCTGTCAGGATTGCAGATGAGTATCAATAAAAGTAAGGGGCTTTTAAGTGCTTTAGTTTTCTTTCATGTTGTCTAGATTAGATCACTCCAGGTCTCTCCCCATTCTTCCCCTCTTCCCTTTCCAGCACATAAAATCCCTTACAGCAGATCTTTAGGTACACGTGTCTCGGCCCCTAGCTCCAGTTCTCTTTCTTGAAAGCAAGTTGCACAGCATCATTCACATCCTGCACTATGTAAGACGCCTCCACCAGGCTGGGATCAAAGCAGAAGTCCCGATGTCCATGGAACACCGCCTTGGTCGTGCACTGCTCTGTTTTACTGGGAACACCGTCGTTGTGGCGGTACACCCCAGTGCAGACCAGGATTGAATCGCAGCTCTCCACTGAACTGTTGCAGTCCTTCCTCAGCTCAAGGTAATCCTCAGTTTGGGGACCGGCTGCCTGTGGGTTCCTCTTCACCCCAGCCTGGACCTGGTTCTGCTGAGCTGACTTGAGGTAGTTGTTGTAGAGGTTTGCCCCATAGACATCAGACATAGGGTTATCCCTGGATAAGGTCACAGTGTGAAACAGGAATGAGAAACCAGCCCGTGCATCTGGTTCTGGCAGACTGGGATTAAGAAAGCACTGAAGGAGGAAGGGGTGTGAGATATTCACTAACAACAAGAGGAGCACCCAGACTGGCCTAGTGAATCCACCTCCCAGTGTGTTCTGTTCAGGCCACGTGCTTCACAAACATCTTCCAAACATCTTAGAAGCACCCACATCAGTTTCAGCCACTACTGTGTTGCATTCCCTACGTTCCCGAAATGTTTGGCCTAACCAGGTCAATGGTGCCACATCTGGGTCTCTTAACTTTGTCTTCAATCACCACTCTACACACATTCTGCATCCTACAGCAAACAGCTTTCCTAGGCTGACAGGGCCCCTCCAGATATTGAAAGTGTAGGATGCAAAAAGCTAGCAACCCTCTGTTCCAGGACATGAGGCTCCAGAGACGCCATGGGGATTTTGGCATTATTTTTAGAAATATCCAGTTAAAAAAAAAAAAAAAAAAACAAACAAACAACCAAAAAAAACAAGGGGAAAAAAAAAAAAGAAAACCAAACCCCAAGACACTAAAGAGAAGTCAGTGTGTAACTCCCTAAGGAAAGCAGCAGGAAAAAGAGTCTCTTACCCAACTGCATAGAGGCGTCGGATGGGAGCCTTCCAGCCCTGTTTCTCTGCCTGCTGTTTGATCAAGTACTCAGCGTAGCGGTAGGTGACCGTGCTGGGTTTGCCAATCAGCGCCTCGTACTTCAGTTCCCTGCCTGTCACCTTCTTGTAGATGTTCTCCAAGCAGAGGAGGAAAGTGCCATGGCCAAACCTGCTCCAGAAAGGAGGTCATCAGCGTCCCCAGTCATGCCCCTGAAGTAGCAAGCACTCCTTGGTGAGGAGAACCATCGGCTGTACCCAGGTTAGAGCCTCCTTTGGATGTGGTGTCTACCCACACACACACCTCCACAGGCAGTGGTCTGGCTTTTGCTTCTTGAAAGCCTGAGACTTTGTTTCTCATGCAGCTTTCATGCCTCTGCTGCTAATTACACCTTACAATCAAACGCTAAAAAAATGCAGTAGGAAAAGATCACCTGCAGGAGAGTTATATGAAATTTGCTAAAACAATTAACACACGTGCTTTTCACCTGGGCATCTTGGCTTCAGCCATCCACAGGAGATCCATGTTGCAGGCAAGGACAGGCAGATGGGGGTATGGTGCATCTTGTGGCTCTGCCCCAGGGTTCCCGTTGCTCAAGAGTACATCAGTAATAAGTTGCAGGCTTGTCTCCCACCTCACCGGCTCACCAAACAGAATCACCCCTGGAAGATTTCAAAGAGATGTTCAGAAACTCACAGCATCCAAGTATAGGACCCACTACCAAAAGCCACCCACTAACAAAACCACTCCTCTGCTGGGATGCCCTGGTGAGTACAGCCACCACTGGAAGACGGCTGGTGCCAGGTCTCCAGTCTGTGTATCACTGCATCGTGTGCACCACTAGTCCCAGATACTGGGGCATGGCACAGAGAAAAACTGGCTTAGCTTTTACCCAGATTGTACTTCACACTGCATGAGAGCAGCGAGGCTGCCTCCTGACTGTATCCTCTGAGTATGCTGCCCGTGGATACTAACGAGCCAACAGCACGTCATCAGCTCCCATCCCAGCTGGCCTGCCTTGCTGTTAGTTCTGCTGGCTGTTCATATCTAAACAGAGGCCGCTGCTTACCTTCTATAGTGGGGAAGCCAGTGGTTGGAGGAGGCTGCCAGAAGAAAACAGAAGGCTGTGTTAGTAATGTAAAACCCAGTGCCATCTCCAAAACAAAACTAAAAATGCTTCCTTTGAGCCTGGCAAAGTAGTTCCGTAAAAAGGCAGGGCAAGGCCACCTGGAATCCTGAAGAAAGATTTCCCTCACCTCCTCCTCCCCCCATCCCAGACAGGATTTCTGGGATACAGACCTTGCACTCCTGTCTCAGAGCTGGAGGTGTCAACTAAACCATCTTACCCCTCACTGCAAGGAACAGCAATGGAAGATGGGCGTGGCATGAGAAACGTGAGGGGAAAGTCACTGCCCTTGCTGCAGGAGCCAAGGCTGTGAAGAGCAGAGAGATGCTGGCTGCTCAGCACCAGTCCCATGCTCTCACTACGGGGAGTCACTGGCAGACAGCTGCTCTGTGCCTTTGCAGCCTCTCTGCCCTGTCCATACAGCCCCACTGCACCAGACCACCCCTTCCACTGACGCTTCAGGAAATTACCAGTTCTTTTGGCCTCCGGCTCTGATCCACCATGTCCAACAGGGGATATGCCTTCCTCAGGGCCTCTATGGTGACCACGTGCTTGAACCCCAGGCTATTTCAGACCATCAAGGAATATTGTGGAGACTATTGTTGGTTTTTTTTTTTTTAAGTTACTTGAAAAAGCATCTGTAGGATTAAGGAATACAAGTCCTAGTAACAGATCATAACCTCACAGCTTTCAGTCACACCTACTGACTTCAACCTACTGACAGCCCCAAAGGTTACAGCTAAGAAAAACAGACTGGGGTGATTCATCAGCAGTCCCTGGAACTGGGCAAAGAGCAGAAACTGCCATTCCAAGATAAAACAGATGTGCTTTGGGAGACCTTTATGGCAGGGTTCTAATATTGGTGCAGCACAGGGCGATGGGGAGGCTTCTTGGCTAGAAGCAGAATCACTGAAGCCTTGGTCAGCTCAGCTGGTGCACGGAAAACGGTCTGCGCTGATAAAACTACATAAAGGATGAGTTGCATTTACTTGCAGAACACCCTGCCCTTGGCTCATCTATCTATGTGCCTCAGGAAACACAGAAAAGGGCTGTATTTTTGCAACAAATGAAGTTAAATGTTGAGCACAGAGTGTGCCTCTGTGTGTAGAGGCTGAGATGCTGTCCGCACTGCAGGCAGTTCTTACCTCCTTGCAGACATGTTTGCCCTGCTGTCCACACACCTCAACCAGGCAATATGCATGTGGGATTGTCATTTAGACCACTTCCCTGTACTGGGATGCTCTAACTCTAATGACATTTCATCGAATCATAGAATGGTTTGGGTTGGAAAGGATTTTAAAGATCAACTAGTTCCAATGCCCCTGCCATGGGCAGGCACACCTTCCACTAGACCAGGCTGCCCAAAGCCCCATCATATTTGACTTCCTTTAATTGCTGTCAGTTGGGGGCGATCACTAATGGGCTTTGCCATGAAAGAACTGGAGGAGCACAACTTTATCTCAAAAGTGAGATAAAGTGAAGATAATTTTATAAAAGTGATAAAAGTATAAAGATATAAAGATAACTTTAAAAGTATAAAGATATAAAAGTATAAAATAAAAGTATAAAGATATGAAATAAAAGTATAAAGATATAAAGATAACTTTATAAAAGTGAGATAAACTTTATCTCAAAAGTGAGATAAGGCCCAAAGCTGATGGAGTCCTCACGGTGACATCCCACCAACAGGAACAGCAATCACAGGAGAGGTAATCAGAGTGAGTTAATCAGCATGACAACCTAAACACTGAATAAGGGCAGCCAGGAGGTGACCAAGATGGAGTTATTGCTTCCCTCTGAGCTGCTCCACGAGGGTGCTTCCCCATAAGACCAACGACCTTTCTGTCTCCTCGTGGTTCTCCAAGCTGAGCGAGTGCCAGGGGCAGTGGCAAGGCAGGAGCAGCCTTTAGCTGGGAAGCTGCAGAAGGACGCGCAGAGCACCATGAGGCACACAGAGCAAAGGATACCTGTGGGCAATCTCCTCCACGGGCCCCTGCCCGGCCACCAGCATGCACTTCTGGTGGAACTGGCTGAAGAGCTGCAGGGGGCTGTGGGACAGGATCACCTGCTCCGGAGACACCTGCGGGAGGGTGGAGAGGATGGCTGGGAACCGCAGGTAAGATTTCGCCCCCCTCCTCCCTGCGGTCGGGCCGTATCGCCGCCACCTGCCTCTCTCCGAGGCAAAGCCAGGCAGTCGGAGTGATTCCCTCCCGGGGCAGTCCCGCGGGATGTGCTCCCTCCTCCCGGCGCTCCGCTCCGAGGCCGGGAGCGCTCCCCCAGCCCCGTCACCTTTACCTGCATCCCCAGCGCCCGGGTCAGCTCTTGGGCCTTCTCCGAGCGCAGGCAGTTCCCGGCGTTGGTCAGGAAGACGACGGGCACCCGGAGCCTCCCGCTGCCGTCCGCCAGCCTCTGGAAGGCGCGTCGGGCGGCGGGCACGGGCTGGCTGCCCCGCACCAGCACCCCGTCCACGTCGAACAGGAACCCGAAGGCCGGCGGCTGCAAGGCGAGCGGAGCGGACGGTCACACCGGGGAGCCCCCCCTTGCGCCGTCCCCCTCCCCGGCCCCTCGCCCCCGGCGCCGCTCACGCACCCGGGCGGCGGCGCAGACCCCGCGGGCGGGAGGCCCCGCGGCGCGGAGCAGCGCCCGGCCGGCCCGCAGGCACCCACACAGCGCCATCCCGCCCGCTGCCGCCGCGGGCACCTCCCGCACTACAGCTCCCAGAGAGACGCGGGGCCCCAGGGGCGGGACCGGGGCGGGGGGAAGGGGGGCGGGCACCACGGGCCGGGAGCGGGTGAGGGGAGCGCTGATGCTGGAGGGCCGCGACCCTGTAGAGGTGTAAGGGGTGAGTGGGGTACAAGCAGCCCAGCCACGGGAGAGGCGTGCAGAATCACCAGCGAAGAGGGATTTGGGCGGGAGGGAGCAAAAGGCTTAGATCCCTACAGAGCAGTGACACCGGTTTTATCTCAGCCCTTCACAAAAGCAAAGAACAGGAGGCTCTCGGTCTGTGAGCGAAATCGCTCCGGGGCTGTACAGCCCGGTCCCCGTGGTTGCACAGGCATCTCCCCAGGCATAGTCTGCTTTCAGTCTAAAGTGATTACAGCTTGCCCTGCCCGCAATGTGCGTGCCAAGGGGCTGCACTGCGACTTGTTACCTCTTCCAGCTGACCAGGGGAGTGACTGTCCCCCTGTACTCAGCACTGGTGAGGCCACACTTTGAGTGCTGTGTCCAGTTCTGGGCCCCTCAAAATCAGGAAAGGCACTGATGTGCTGGGGTGTGTCCTGAGAAAGGCAACGAAGCTGCTGAAGGGTCCAGAGGGTAAGTCCTATGAGGAGCAGCTGAGGGAGCTGAGGGAAGTTTACCCAAAGAGGAGGCTCAGGGGAGACCTTAGTGCTCTCTACAACTACCTGAAAGGTTGTAGCGAGGTAGGGTCAGCCTCTTCTCCCAGGCAACTGGCAATAGGATAAGAGGACATGGCCTCAAGCTGTGGCAGGGAAAAACAGGTTGGACATCAGGGAGAATGTCTTCACTGAAAGGGTGGTCAGGCATTGGAATGGACTGCTCAGGGAGCTGGTGGAATCACCCTCCCTGGAGGTGTTCAAGACGTGACTGGACATGGCACTTAGTGCTGTGGTCTAGTTGACAAGGTCAAAAGTTGGACTTTGTCTTGGAGGTGTGATTCTGTGAGTTGCTGCCCTGCCTTTGCTCAGTCTTTTTAAACCCAAGTCTTGTGGTCCTTTTCCTACAGATCATAAAGTTTTCTAAAACTCTGGTCACCTTTTATGCTCTCCAATGGACTGCCTCCCTCTTTCCTGTGCCATGGGAAAAAAGCCTTGATGCTGACTTCAGCTGAAGCCCTTCCAAACCCGTGGAAAGTGAAAGGTTCGCTTCACATCCGTGGAGATGAAACAATGTTTGTTTGCTTTCTGGCTGGGCTTAAGACCTCCCGACTCCCTCGGTAGGGCAGGTTTAACATGTATGACTTTAGGCATCAATTACGCAAACAATGTAATTGTTTGTTTTCACGCTTCCATTGCCGTGAACACCAACCTTAATTTGTTTTTGACCCATTTTAACACCCAGAGACCTTTCTGCAGAGCTATTAAAGCACTGGCAACTCAGCATTATACATTTGTACAGATGGTTATTCCTCCTTAAGTGCCTTTTCCTTCACTGAATTACCTACCATTTATTTTATGTAATTTCCTCAACTTACCAGGATGACTTTAATTTCTCACAAGTGTTTGCAGTTTCTCCTGCTCTGGCAAAATTCATGCTGGCCTTGGAGATGTTACTGAAAGTATTAAGTTCGTGCAGAACTGGGCTTCCAATCTTCTTCCACTAGCACGAGGCAGGCAGCTACAGCTAGTTTGAAGTATGCCTTCTCACCTATGTAGAAACCAGAGACCCCCAGCCCCCACCTCCCGTGGCTGCCCATGAAAAATAAAGTCAGAGAGAGGGGCAAAGACTTTCTGAAATTAATGACAAACACAAGAGCCTTGTCTCGAGGTTTCTCAGCTATCCACCATGGCAGCCACTCCTGGCAGAGTGAAAATGTGATCGATTTGCTGTGATTTCTGCTTAGAGTATTGGCTAATGTGAGTTTCTAGCCTTCTAACAATACAACCACTTGCAAGTTAGATGGGTTGTTTTGGTTCCTGGTCTCAGTGCCTCTGAGACCGAAGCGCCCCTGCTTTGTAAGTGTAAGGATACTTTCGTCCTTTTTTTCCCCGGTACCGAGACTTGCGAAGCAGCCGCGAGACGTCCAGCCAGTTCCCTAGGCAGAGAGGATATCATTGCAAAAAAAAAAAAAAACACTGAAAACCACAACAAACTGGTTTAGTCTATTTAAACATCCTGGAGTTCGATGTTTTTCGCGCGGGGGTTTTATCCTCTCCACTCCGTGCGGGTTTTTATCCCGCTGTGCCGGCTCTTCCCGCGGATCCCTGCGGGAGGCGCTCCTGCTCCACGGCGCGGGCGGGCCCGCAGCGCTCACCTGCGGGAATCCCCCGCACCCCGCCAAGGCTCGGGGGGCTCCTGGCAGGGTAAGGGGTGCGGCTGGGGGGTGTGGGGTCAGGCTAGGGGGCCGAGGGTGTTGTTCTAATCCCAAGTGAACCGTGGGGGTACCCGCCGTCGAGGGGGTGGGTGCCCCTGAAGTGTGCATGTGTGCTCCCTGGCGGGCTGGCAGAGCTGCCCGTGTTTATTTTTCCAAGGAAGGCGGCCCAGCGGGCTGAAGCGCTTATTTTTAAACCAACGCAGAGGGAGTGTGCCAGCGGCCGGGCACAGGCTGAGCCTGGCAGGGACCGACAGCGGCACTGCTGCCAAGCCCCGCGCTTTGCTTCGGCTGCTGAGCCCCTCCCGGCACCGCGAGCAGATTTTAGCCCCATCATCCCTGTGCTAAGTGCCCGGCTGTGTAATTTACCTTTCCAGAGCTGAGACTTTTCTCTGTGCCTCTACTAGGAGCTCCCCATTTTGCATGCTGTACATGGACGGACCTCGTGATTTCTTCTGCGGGCACATCTGGCAACAGCCATATCCCCAAATGCCCCTAGGGATCGCCTGTCTGCCCTTCTCACACCGGCCCACAGGAGACTCCCTCTTCTTCCCCTCTCTACACGGTGCTTAGATGTTTCCCCCGCCCCTTTCGTAACTGACTATAAAGACAAGCAAAACAGGCAGTTGCCCACAGCCTTCTCCCGTGGGTCCCTGTATAAACTTTGCAGCTCTGTTTTCTCTGGACTCACAGCCCTGTCATCACCCCCCTCCCTCCTCCTGACCTTCTAACATCCCCCTCGAAAGTAGATGCACCTTCCATCTCTCCTTTTACCGCAGAGGCTCTAATGGCCTGAGCCAACCCTCCCCCCACGGTTTATCTCTTCTCTCTCCCTGCTGCAGCCTGCTCACGAAATGATGGACAAGCTAAAGGTTGAGAAAATACAGTAAAATGCCTTTCTTATCCTGTAATGACCAAGGGGGGGAGGACACAGCCTGATAAAAATGACAAGTCAGAAGAATTGAGAGCCAGACCCTTCACCTGCCTGTCCCTCAGTGCACAGAAAACACTTAATGGTCCTGCTGTGATTGCAACTGCTGCAGGCCCGGGAAGAAAGGAATTAAGTACTGAGCCAATTAGAACTATAAGTTTCTGTTCAAAGAGATGTCTTTCTGCTTACCTGTGAAGAGGCTAATTCAGAGACTAATACAGGAAGAAAACCTGAAGCAGGCTGAGCATCTGGAGCTGGTGGAAAACGCCTATGTTTTTATGGCCAGAGGGCTTTGCTTAGCATGTGGAATCTGTGTAGTCCCACTGCAGCGATGGGGGCTCACAAGACATAGAGATCCAGCTGCTCGCTTGGGCCTATCTCTATTTCCAACCACATACTTTATTCCTCTGTTTTTATTGGCATGATTTTTGACAGCAACTACTAGTGCTGGATCAGCCATTTCCTGGCAGTGATTGACCAGGAGGCAAACATTTCATTCTCTAAATTGCCCCAGAGGCAGTCTAAGATGTTCTGCTAGGCCTGTGTGCTGCAAACAAAGCTCCATCCACCTCCCATTTAAGCAAATTGAACCTGAAGAGGCCACAGGGAGAGACAGATGGGGGAGATAACAGGCATAAGGCTTGATGTATTCCTATGGCTGCTTGAAGTAACCCTCATAGAAACTCCTATGGATTTTCTACTCTCCTTCCTTGCTCCTGAGTCTGGATGGAGACAGAGGGGGGGCTCTTTTCGCCTCTTTGTGTCTACCCTACTCAGCCTCCCATCACCTTGTGTCTGTCTCCACCTCTTTCATCCCAGATATTCAAGTTCTCTGGCTACTCCTTTCTTCCCATGCCCACCACCAGCACCTGTGGCAAAGAGCCTCAGGTTGTTGTACCATATAGTTACCTGGTGCTCCACGAGGCACTTGCTAGGTTCAAAAAGAATAGGGTGATCACACAGCATTTACTCTTTTCCCTGTTTTCCACCATGAAAATCCCACTAAAAGGCCTTCAGTGGCTCCTCTACTTCCCTGTGCTGTAATCACCACAGAGATGGTACTAAACTGTAATGGGAGGAGAGGCAGCACAAGGAAATCATGTCTGTCAGATGGTGTCTGTATGAAGACATGGCCCTGAGCTGGATGCAGCTGCGAAGACATTTCAGACTCCCTGATAACTCTACGCTGGGCTGAGTGATGTGAAAAATCCCCCTCCACTGCACATTCCAGATTAAAACCTCACATCAAATCCAGGCATCCCCTGTTCTTTTTAATGGAGGGGGGTGGGGGTGGGAGTGAAGGAAGGAAAAATAACCCTGACATTTAAAAATTGGTTTAAAAATTTAATTATAGACTGGGTTCTGAAAGAAATAGGCAAAAAAGCATTGTATATGATGTATTTGCCAACAAATGTGAGCAGGGAGCCAAGGCACTGACGGTAAGGGAATAGACTGGCAGCAAAACCCTTGAAAGAGGGCCCTGCAGCCAAATTTACCCAAAGCTTTGAGGCCAAATAGATGGATCTTTCATAACTGCTGTGGTCCAGCCTAAATCCATCCTTTTTTTGCACGCCTGGAGTTAGAGAGGTGAGGATGCAATTTGGGTTTCTCAGTTTGCACCTTTCTCAGAACTAAGGCCACTCCAAGGAAGTGTTGACCCCCAGCAGTAAAGCAGGCTGGCCCTCCTTCTCTCACGCTTGCTTAGGCCTTGTGTATGGTTGAAGCCCATCTACTGCCAGAGGACTCTTGGGAAGCCCCAGACACCACACATGGCAATGCCCTGTTCAAGGAGGGATCCAAGGAGGGCCACACCACTGGAGTCAGGCCCCTCTGTATGGTTCAGGTGCACATTTAAACATACATATATGACCGGGACAGAAAAGCTTCTTCTCTCTGCCCAAAGCTAAGATAAAGCTTCTCTCTCCCTTAGCAGAAGCGGAGTCACCAGGCTAGTCACAAATGCAGACATAGTCCTGTAGAGTTGTTTCACCTTTCTGAGGGCTTCATCTGAAAGTCATCTCAGACCCGTACAATCCTGTGATTTCTGTGGAAACCTGATTCTGCTGTAATCCTGAACAGCATCACTTACTGCTGGCTCTAGATACTTGGCCCCATCATGTCATGGCTACAAAGTAGGTAAATGGCCAAATGCACAACAGGCTTCTCTTAGGAAGGCAAGAACAAACTGGACACTACAGGTAAACTGATTCCAGCAGGCGTTCGGCAAATTAGGATCTATCCCTGCAACTATTGCAGGTAATGAGGAGGGAGGAGGACTAGAGGTAACCAAAGAGCAATTCGAGCCCTCAAGAGATCACATGCAGGAAGAGCTGAAAGCTTTCTACTGTAATAGAAAAGGAAGGGATGTCTGTCAACCTGTTGAGGAACTCACCTCCTCACACAATGGCTCTGTAATGATTAGCTTCACCTTGGCAGCAAAGAGGCTTATTTAAGGGAGAATCAACTCGTGGCAAATAAGGATCTTTGTCCCTCCACATATAGCAATGCTGAAAGATCAGGTTGCTCAGAGGCTTTGGGTCATTGGTTAGCAGCCACTGCACTTGCTTGCAGCAGTTCGCCTCAGCAGCATTACAAATAAGGCATTTCCCAAGTCAGCATTTATAACCTGGCCATGACCAAAGCCTACCTTGGGGACTTTAGACTGAGCTCTGTATGCAACACCCATGGAGGAGGAGGGAAAGGGGCTCTGCTCTGGCTCCTCCTCCAGTATAAAGCTCCTCCCAGGACCAAATCTGCATCAAGGCCCAGGGAAGGTCAGCCTGCCAGAAAGCATCTGCTGGTGCTCTGAGGAAAGTTGTGGGGGAATGTGGGCAGAGAAAGCTGGAGTAGAGGCAGCTGTGGCTGAAAAGGGCTGGCGATGCGAGGCACTTAATTTCCCCCCCACACACACACTTCCCAGTTATCAAGGGGTGTGACAGGGTTGTCACTTTTGCTTTCTTTGGTTTGTGTTGCTGGGTTCTGCAATGCAACACACCTGTAGTTTGTTGTGGTTTTATTTTTTTTTCTGTGATGGGGCTTGCAGTGTGTTTGTTGTTCGGTTTTTTAACTCTAACTAGAGATGAAGTTGCAGCCTGTGAAATGTGAGCAATTTAACACGGCATGCAGGGGCTGTGCAGCTTGATCCACTTCTGTAGTAAGTGTATTTGCCTCCTGCTAAGGTGTTTCAGCCAAGGTCAGTGGAAATAAGCACTATAGCCAGGCAGCTTGAGACAATTAGCAGAAAGCCTAAAGAGAGCCAATTTGCCCAAGCTGGTCAGATCAGGAAACAACAGTCCTTGCAAGACTGCGGCTCAGAGGAGGGACATGTCTCTCAACAGGAATTTTTGTCAATTCTCCCTTGGCTGATGCAAACCAGCATAATTGTACTGAAGTCAGAGAGAGATGCTGATTGATCCTGGCTGCGTGTTTGGGGTATTGGTGTTGAACAATTTTGCTACATTTATTTAGCATCCTGATTAAGTTGTTGTTGTTTTTTTAAATCTCTCTGCAACTGGTTCTCCTCCTGATACTTTTGGTAATACTAAGAAGGGGAATTCCCTTGTCCAAAGACTATTTATTGTATAGGTTTTTTTGACCAGAGAGATGGAAATCACAGAAGTCCAAATGAGCACTGTGGATATCCACGGTGTGAGAGCAGTTCTCCACCAAGGTGAAAATCTGCCTGACAGGCTGGTTAAGGACACATTTGCACTCTGATTTAGGCAACAAAGGCTGGTAGTGGAACCCCCTAAAATCACAAGCTGTTTCCTATAAATGCAGAGCCCTGTGTTAATGTGGCCTTGTGTGGAGGGACAGTTTTAATTAAGCTGGATCTGGGAAGCCAGGATGTTTTTTCCTCAGATGAAACGTGTTTTGCCTTCCTTTTGACCAGGAGACAGGAAAAGATTTTGCAGTAAAAAAAGCTATTGGCAACTCAGACACCTCTTTTTGGCTTTATGATCACTGTGCAACCAGGCTTAAATGTTCTGGGAGCAAGTTCCATCAGCTTGTTTCCAAGCCATGGTAGAGCCTGAAATAGCAGACATCAGACCTATGACTGGTTCTTCGACCTAGCAGTGCTATTTTGGCAGCAGGCCCAGGGTTAAACATAACAAGAGTCATTTTCAGTCCTTGCTCTCCTGAAGGTCAGTGGCCCAAATGGTTGGATGTTTGTCTTAGCTGTTTCCGGACAAGGTCTGCATTTTGTAATGATAAGGTGAAATTCAGAGATCCTCATGTTGGCAGTCTCCTGCTGACCCTAACTGGAAAGCATATTTTTCCTGAATAAGGATGTCAAGATTTGGTAATTGGCAATTTTTAACTGTTTTGACTATTTTGAGTGGGGTGGTCTTCTGTGGTTGCTGTAAGGGCTCACTGCTCCCTTTTACCTCCAGTCCGTGACTTTCACAGAACAGCTCAGCTCGTTCTCAGTTTTAAGCCCATTAAGCCTGGCTTACCAGGGTCGCCCATTGCCAGGTAAGACTTAGAGGTTCATTCATCTGCTCAGGTCACATGGAAGAAGCAGTCTCCCTCTAAGCAATCACTCTGGCTTGCGAGATGCCTTCTGAGATGAGTCTTGTCCTTTCTAAAGCTCCCTTAAAAAGCTATCAGAGAGGTCAGCCACAAATTGGTCCCATTTTTTCTGCCAGACCTCTTTGGCCTTGGCTTTTTCAGCAGATGCCATGGCACTGTATCTGTGAGGAGGAGGAAAGTGAATATCAGGCAGGAGACAAGCAGGCAGCTGTTTCAAGATCAGCACCAAAATGAAAAGGCAGGAAACAGCAACAGATTAACCCTTGCAGGACATGCCTGTACTGCTCAGAGTAACACAGTGTAAAGAGCCTGGAGCTCCTACCAGCTGGGCTCACGCTGCCACATCAGCAGCCACCGAGTCCTGCACCATGAGGACAAACAGCTCAGTCTGCATGAGCTGGAGACTCGATGGGCAGCAACCAGTGACTAGTACAGAAGAGACAGCACTGCTGCTGCTTTCAGACGTGCCCTGGGCTTGGTCCAAATTGGTAGGAAATCAGGGTATTTGTTGTCTCCCTGGCCATGCAGGGACTTGGGATTGCCTTGAGGACTGGCACAGGATTTGCCAAACAGGCAAGAGCTGAGGAATGTGCACAAAGACCCTGGACACCATATCCAAACTATTCTGGGACATTCAGAGCTGCCCAGATAAATAGAAAAAGTTGTTAAACACACTCAAAATAAATGCTGGTAGATTTTTTTTCCCGTGTTTCCCAGGTGAGCCACAGCAAACACTGCATCAAATTTTGGCAGAAATAGACAAGCGATATAAAGACATAAGATTTCTCCCATACCCAGAACCAGGTGCTGGAGGCAAGTTCACAAAGGATGGGAAAGGAAGAATAAACTGAAACACAGAGTTACAGAAAGGAAGGGCACGGGGAGAGGAGCCTCTGGGGTCCCTGTGTCCTGCCTTTGGAGAAGACACATAGCAGAGATTTTGGATTAATGGAAGCCCAGTTCCTGTGGCAGAGGAGACTCTGGGGCCAAAATCCAAATACAGTGGGTTTCTGGGGAGCAAGCTGATAGTATCCTTATGATTACTATGGCTAGATGAGAGAGGTGAGTAACTTACTTTATGGAGTTGAGTGCAAGTTGTTTTAATGTCCTCAGGTCGGCATTCATCCCTCCGATGGCCATGAACACCTCGTAGAAGTCATAGGAGACTCCCTTTGCTCCAAAGATAGGGGGATCATCGGGGCTGATCACAATGGGGTGCCCTTCAGCCATGAGGTCAGCTGCGGGGTGACTCCGCAGGTCAGCTACCAGCAGCAGGACCTTGGTGGGAAGGGTGGAGACAACACTGGTTATTGCTGTAGCCGTGTTTGGATACCTGCCACAGCTGCCTGTGTCAGCAGGGAGTCGCCAGGGAGGGACAGCCTCCAGAGGGCTGTTCAGAGCGTGTTCTGGTCCGAACATCTGTGGGAGGAAACAGCTTGTCTCCTTAAGGAGATGGGTTTCCTAAATGAATGGCCTAAGTCAAGGCCAGTGGGGTGAATAACTTCTGCTTACGTATAACGATTTGACTGCGAGCATTTCATGAACAGTTCTTTAGTTACGTGCTTGCCATGATGCTTAGCTCAGGGCATCTGGAGCTGGAATGAGGGTTCTCTCACTTAAGGCTCACACCAGTACATCTCTACCCCAGAGCATCTTTTCTGCTGCACCCAGGGGACAATGGGCACCACATTAATGTGCTACAGAAGAGCTCCCGCTGCTTATGAACTCTACAAAATCAAGAGACTTCCAGTTACAATTCCTGCTTCTCAGCCTCTGGTCTTCTGGTCCTCATCTCCACTAGGGAGGACTGCCTACCCAAGTTCCTCTGGGTGGGAATGCAAATGATTCCTTTTGCTGACTGGTATTACAAGCCTTATATAAATTTACAGTGTGTGTCTATGTAGCAGTGCAATGTAGTGCAAAAAAACCAGCCAGTCTGTGTGCATCAAAACTTGTAGCTGCCCCCCAACTCCCTTCTGCTCCTCACTGCTTTGGTGAACCTCATTCCAGTGTCCCATCCCTAAGAGCTAAGCTTTTAACAACATACCTGGTTGGAGATGGGACAGACTTCTACGGGAATATCCCTCTTCAGAGACAAACTTTTGGCTACTGGGTGTTTAATGAGAGCGAGTCCGTGGCCAATCCTGCTGGTGTTCAGGAGCAGTGCATCCAGCACATTACTGTCTACAGAGGTGCCCTGCCAGTCTGAGCAGAGACAGGTAAGGGTGAGTTACTGCAGTGCTGTGAGGAAGTATGTCTTCTCAAACTGCTAGATGATTTTGTAAATAAATGCCCCAGTTGCAAGGTAAGAGGGTTTCCACTTGCATTTTCAATGAAACAGGGATTTAGTTCTGCCCAGGATATTGCTCAGCACGGAGATATCCACTCAGTTCACCTGGCTTTAGGTGTCCACAGTGTTTCTCTTACAGCTAAGCTAATCATGCTGGTCTCCATTCATTGTCAATGGAGAGAAGCAATAACTTGTGGGGAGTAGCCTGTGCAGTAGGGTGAGATGTTCTATGTACTGTGCCTTAGAAGAGCTTGTTACTGCCCGTGGCTACAAAATCAGCCCAGGGTAACTAGTTCAGAACCAGACACGTTCTCTGGAGATGTCAACAAGCAATACACATAATGCACAAGTTAGACACAACTGCCATGCACGTTTAGGATAAATCCCACCCATACTGACTGAATAATGTATGGCCTGTAGTAATACATTGGCCCAGGAATGAAGGGTACATGAGTTACTTTGATGAGTAAAGACTCAAGGCTGCCTCAGATATTTCTTCACCTTTAAATGTAAAACAATGGCTCAGGAATTCTGCTGCCACTGTGAATGGGAGGTGAGTGCCGCTCCAAGAAGGAAATGGCTACCAGCAATAACTCTTACAGCATGACTCCGTGTCAAAGACACTAAGCAACATGACACCTGCAGTTAAATGCAGGGAGTAGGTAAGGGAGTGGTCCTGTTGGAATGCTACAGGAACAGGCTGATATGGGGCGAAACATGAGGAAAACTGGTTATGTACACGTGTATATGCACACATCATCCTGATACATCCAGGCTTGCTGCTTCTGTGCTTTGCAAGACTTCAGTCTTGCCTCTGCAAGCAATAACAGGCCTTGAGTGCTTACCTGTCTCGCCAGCATGGAAAAAGTATGGCAAGCTGACCCCCATGGAATACGGGATGGTCAGGGCATCCTTCAGGTCCCATAAAGAATGACCTTCATCCTCATCACCAACCTAGAGGAAAAAAGAAAGGTATTTTTGAACACACTTGGGAAGATGGTGGAAATAACAGCTATATATCACTGAGGTGCCAGCTGTACTGAAATCTCAATGCTGTGGGGTGGGGAGCTGGTTCTTTCAGGGGATTTTGTCAATTACCCTGAACAAAATCCTTAGCTGGAGGATTTACAATCCATTAACACTGATTTCAGTACAGCAGCAGAGGTTCTGCCTCTGGTGTGCAACATATGCCATATTATACATGTAGTTATATCACAGGGGGTTAATTGGAAGCCACAGAAGAAACACGGTTACCAGGTCGAAGCCTGCCAGGGTGTCTGGGAATTGGGCTCTGAGCGCCATGGCAGTGACGATGGCTTCTTTAATCTGGGAAACATTCAGCATCCTAAAGAGCAAGAGAGAGAAATCAGTGCAGAGGCTCACTCCCATGGGCCTGCCTTCTTTGGGTTTGACTTGTGAAATGCGGCCCCCAGGGGTATTTCCAAAATGCAAGTTGCTCCTGAATCTGACAACCATCTTCAGGTCTCCAGAGTAACAGCAGCAGAAAATTGATATTATGAAAGGAAGCCCCTGAATGACCAGGAAATGCCTGGCTAGACCCTGCTGTCACTTAGTTGAGGCATGCCTGTCTGACTCACTGGCTTTCACATCCACCAAGCAGGGAACACAACAGCGTGGAGAGAAAATGTTTAATTTTCTTTTCCTCTTGACTGTTTTGCTGGGAGGTGAGATACTAACTGCATTTCAAGAGAGTTTTAAATTTGGGGTTGTTCCAGCCCTATCAGACTTCAACATCTCAGCTCATTTCATAGACACGCTGTGTCCATACCCACGCTGTCCGAAGACAAGCCAGCTCTGAGCTGGAAACGGCACCGTGCCGAACCGGAGCGAGTAAATGCTGCTGAGAGGTCTGCTCTGATTGCTCGGGATCACCTCACATGACTTCATGGCATCTGGCTGACTTGGAGAGCAGCCTCGTGCCCGCCCGCAAGCAGCAGCACGAACATACCGTACAAAGGCTGTCGGGAGAGCAGCGCTTGCGGGGTCCCACGGGGGCCTTCGCAACACCAAGTGCCCATACTCGGGCACTGCTGTCACTGCTCCAGTTCCTGCAGAAACCGGGAGTGTGTCCAGGCTCAGGAAAAGCCTTGGAGACGCACACAGGCAGCCTTTCCCTTGCTCGTTCACGCACCCAGGGCTCACAGACTCCCGTCCTCTGGCGCGCACCACGAGCTAACCCCGCTCACTTCGCACGTACACAGACTTATATAGATGATTTCTCACACTCAGCCTTTTACACATGCCAGGGAATGCCTGGGGAGTCAACACCCCGGGCCTGGCAATGCACGTGGACATTGCTAACCAACTGTGGCGCTTCAGCACTGCTTCTCCTGGCCTGGCCCCCTCTCTCCCAGCACAGCCAGCCACGCAGGGCCGCTCTTAGCCCTGCACAGCCTCTACCTACCTGTGCGCTGTAAATATAACCTTGGCTCCAACAAAGTCAGGGTGCTCCTTCACAAACTGCCTGGTCACTTCCCGATAGGTTGCCACAGACCAGGATTTATTGTGCTGGGTGCCATCCAGTTCATACACCTGCGGGGTGAAAAGCACATCACAAGCAGTAGTTAGAAGAGGTGTTTTATTGGAAGATGGGAGTAATGAACTGAAGAAAATCTTGGAAGAAACAATGTGTTACGGTCCTGGGAGCAGGGCAGGAAAAAAAAACAAAACAGTTAAATCTGTGCAGAATATTATCTTCTTGAAGCCTTTACCAGCTGGCAAGAACCAAGGAATGGTTTTCCTCCCTCCTATGTGATACAAGAAACAAGTTTCTCTGTGTTCAGACACGGCAAGCGAGTGCCCTTGAGTACCCAGAGGAGCCCATGACCTCTTACTCTCGTCTGTATCAAATGCTGGAGTGTTTTGTCCAGCCGTCTGGCGGCTCACACACTCTGTGCCCTGCGGTGGCAGTCTGTCAGCCAAGGCAGCCCCCAAGGCACGCGAGGGCTGAGTTCCATAAGCTACCAGCTGGGCTGGGCTTCTGCTCCCCTTTGCCAGAGGTTCACTCCGTGACCTTGAGAGGGTCGTTTAGTCTTCCCATGCTTTCTCTGGCTGTGAAGTGGGAAGAATAATCCTTTTGGCATGCTCTGTTTCATCAAATTACTCTGGGGATTCCTCGCTGCCAAGGCTGTACTCAGGGCTTTTGCCCTGATTTCATCAGGGGTGTAGACCCTGAATGCCCCCAGTGATACTAACCCACAAAAGCCCTGCCTGGAGTTGCTCACTCAACAGTGGCTGAATCCATCCATTTTCTTCTCATCTTTCTCACCAATTTTTTCTCTTTCAACCTTCTCCTCCACCCCTAAACTGCTCTCCTCCACCTTCTCACTTCTGCCCAGTGCTGCCCCTTGCAGTGATGAGCCTCGCTAAGCCCCCACGCTGTGCTGACCCCCTTGCAGGCACCAGCAGCCGTGGGGCAGCTGCAGATGCTCAGAGGGGACTCTTCCCCAGCTGCAGCCCATGGGAATGTGAGACTTTACACAGCTGAATCTGCAAACACAGCTGGGTTTGGGGGGCTTTTCCACAATGTTTGCTGTTTCGCATTTAATCCCAGTGTTCATTTACTTTACTTCAGGGGCCGCCTCTGGCAGGCTGTGCTGCAAGGAGAGGTTTTGCAGTGTCAGTGCTGCTGTCCAAGCCTTGTAGAGGATCTCCAGCCACAGGAACATCTTGTTATTCCTGTCACACCCTGCTCACCTTGACTTAAATGGCAAAGTGGTTCCCTTCCCTCTCATCCCATCTTCAGCCTGGTTGTCCTTTCCCTGCTGGTGCTGCCCTCCAGCCCAGTGTGATTGCAGCTCCTGGCATCCCTCACTGTGGTACCTGGGCTGCAGGCAGCCTGCCTGTACCTCACAGCACACCGAGCTGCTGGGTGTGAGCAAGCCCCGGGGCTCTGGAGGCTCCCACATCGGCAGCCAGCATTAGGAGCTGGATGGGAAGCAAATCTTCCCTGCCAAGCCTCCCTTCAAAAGACTTTACAACCATGTCTAAGGCCTGATGGTAAAGGCAGGGTATTTTCCAGTCAGGCCCACGCAGATTCTCTTGGCCCAGAAACATGTGTGACCTGGGGGGATGCCAGTGCTCGCGCTGTCTCACAGCACAGGAATTTTGACATTGCTGTTATTTTCTCTTTTGAGGTACCCCAGAGACAGATGGTGACTGAGTTCAGAGCAACTGCCTTATGACAACCCTCAGCAAAGTAAGATATATGTAAACTTTGTGGTCTTCTCCCCCTCCTTTTTTTTTTTTTTTTGACTTTTCCAAACACCCTTCTCACCTCAGACACAATCGAGTGGCAGACTGAAGCCCTGACACCGAGCTCTGTCTTGCTATGGGGCCAGCCCAAGTCTCAACAGGGCAGGGTCAGCAGCCCCCCTCCCCAGCTATTGGGACAAAGCCAGATCAGCCTCCAAATTTGTCACAGCACCTGCCTGTCTGCTGGTGGGGGTGGCTGTGGAGGCCTGCCCAGCAGCAGAGGTGGTTTCCGGGGCACAGACATTCATCTGCAGCTGTCTGGAGCCTCCTGGCCATTGCATGCAAGGGCAGGGATTTAAGGAAGATGCTGGCAGGCATATTCAGGAGTTGAGCCACCAGAAGGACATCAGCATGGCTACTGAATCCACTGGACACCGTGGCACCAGCAGCAAGCTGATACCTGCATTCCCACGCACAACCCACCACCACCTCCTGGTCCTTCAGATGCTGCTGGATGAACCTTGTACAGCAGCTTCATTCCTGTTGTAATGGACTGTTGAGAACGTGGAGGTAGGTGGTGTAGTGAGGAGCAGCAGCCTTGATCTGTTTGCTTTGATAAGGCATTTTCCCCTCTGACAGAACTCCCAACCCCATGCTACCCCTCTTGGAGCTGGGCTGGAGCATCTTGTGGGAAAGGTGTGCCTGGAGTGCTGAAATTTTCACTGGGAAAGTGGGAACTGTTACACAGCCAAAGAATAGTGGTGTGGTCTGCTGGTGCTTGGGAAGGTATTAAGGCAGAGAGGGTTTGTAGGACAATCTGACCAGCTTTGCGTGACACACAGGGAGAAAGGCCTAAGCCATTACCATCGGATTTTAGTGTTAGGGGCAATGAAAGGAACAGTTCATGCTTCAAATACACAGCCAAAATTTTAGGTTGTCTGCAAACTGTGCAAGACAGTGCCTTTGCCAATTGATTGAGCCTATTCAGAGAAATCATTCTAAAATAAGCTGAGGATTGAAAATAACATAACTATCCCAGAATGAGTCTCTACGCAAGACAGGACATTTTTCCAGAATAGCTGCCATAGAACAGGTGATCCTGGTGCAGACAAAGCTGAGTTACATCTTCCCAATGAACAATATTTTGACACAGTTCCCAGTCAGATTGTAGAATGCAGTTTTGTGCTGATGCCACAGTAGGTATCTCCCTCAGCCATTAAGAACAAAGCATCCCTCACTTTCAAGCCCTTGCCTATGCAAATCTCCACAAAGACCTTTGAATATGATCAAGGTTTTCCAGCGTCCTTAGAAGGGCAGGTATGCAAACATCCAAAAACTAAATTCAAGATAGGGCTTGAAAAAAGTTACAGAGAAATAAGGATTTAAAAGAATACTAGAGAAGCCAAAAAATACATACTGCAGGCAGGATAGCTCTTATCTCGACATACTGCACGTTATCTTCATAGAGCTCCAGCAGCCCCTGGTAGAAATAGGCCTTGAACACAGGTGCATAGCAGATAAGTCCAGAGGCAATGAGAAAGATTTCTTCAAATCTTTGCCAAATGAAAGCCTGAGAAGGGTAGGCCAGCTCAGGGGCATCTGTCACCAGGGTCAGGTTTCTCAGCAAGCTGTAGAGAAGGGAAAAGAGAAAGGATGAGGAGAACACACAGGACGACTGGCTTTCAGCATGCAAAAAGCCACCAGCTGGCAGCTGAGTGTTGGGTACAGGAGGAAATAGATTCCTCCAGGATCAATAGGTGTGACTTTTGTTGTCAGAGACCGAGCTTTGTGCACATGACACTCTCCCACTCTCATGCTCTGGGGAGCAGTTGGGCAGCGGCTGTGCTGAAGGAGGTCTCTTGGGCAGGACCAAGAGAAGGTGCAAAGCCCTTCCTGACACAGTAGGGGCCCAAAATTCAACTCAGAGCCTGTTGGCGCTGCAGTACAACGGGCGTAACAGAAGTCATACCAGAGATGTTGAGCTATAAGCAGGGTAAGACTGGGTGTTCAAAACCTGCCCCTCCCTTTTTCAAGGGCAAAATCTTGAGAAGTAATAGAGTTACAAAAGCAAATATGATGCATTTATATCACAAGAATTGCACCCTGCTGCCCAGGGGTATCCTTAATCCAAAAGTAGGCAAGTACATTACTCCTGCAGACAATAAATTCCCCCAAGCACCTTCAGCACATGTAAAATGGTATGACACTTGGCCCTCTGTTCAGCACCTAAAAGCAGACTGAGTCTCCAGGAGATGCCATGTACTGTGCCACCACCAACATGCTTATTGAGCCCATAAGTTGTCCTGGTACCTTCATATTGTCGAAATATACCATCTAAATAATCGGGGGAAAAGGACTATGCATCACATATAATTTTTCCCCACCAGTGGACCAACCCTGACACCTTGCCTGCCTGCCTTGCTGATGCCTTCTTCAGGGAAACAGCTGATAAGAAGGTCCTGGCTTTTCCTTAGTGGGATGGAAACTCCCACTGTTTCCTCCATAAATTCAGCTGGCATATAAGCTTCTTTCAGAAATCCAGAGAGACGGTGGGCAGTGTTATCAAGCAGGGTTTAAAGGAGCTAGTAATTGCAAGATTATCTAATTGTGAGTGACAGCTTGCATTTAGGACAGAGTGAGCCTCTGTGCCACAGCACCATCCTCTGACAAGCTGATAGCCTTCGTCCCACCTGAGGCCTTGCCTCTGGCAATGGCTGGTGGTCATCTGAAGAGGAGTTCATAATAAATTTCTCAGGCCAGTGGGCAAAATCTAAATGGCAGTATAGGGGTGATTAGCTTCATTCCTGGATGGAAAAATGGAAGCCATTGCAGCAAACTGTAGAGCTGTTTGCTTGCAGGCAGGTGGGCTCACCAGTCAGGCCAGGCCTGGAGCTCATCTCGTGTCAGGGGGCTAAGCAGGTTCAGATAGAAATGCCTTCAGCCATGCTTCAGCTTTCATCCCAGTATATTGTTTCCCCTCAATAACAGCTACTGATCTTTAATAATGTTCTGTGTTTGACGTCTTGGCCTCCGTCCTCGTGCAGTGTTCTGCTCTGTTATATGGGAGGTGTGGGTTTGATTTGTGGTCTTATTATCTTCATCCAGGACGCTTCTGTATTAGCACCACCCCCCACTACAGATGTAAAATGTGATCTGGTCCAAACTCATAAACTAAGACATCCTGGACAGAGATATGCCTTTGGAGTCCCTCCATCCTGCCCATAAAACAGAGCCCATTCCCCTAGGAGTTGCCTGCTGTTTCACTCTCTGAAGATGCTCTTCCAGGGGCTGCACTTTCATTTCTTCCTCACTCTGTTAATTTCTTTGCCAGGAGCAATTTTAGAAGCAAAACTGTTCATAAAGAAACGCTCGTACTCTGTTAAGGATGAGATTTTAAATGCCCAACAGTCGGGAAAATTCAGAGTTAAGGTTTCCACAGCAACTTCGGCTCTGCCTTCCCATGCATTACAATAGGGGCTTTGGTGCCATTATCACGTGACACTGGGCAACCCCAGCTACTGTTCAGTAATCCATGCAACCAGAGGAGACTGAACTGGACCATGGAAGGGGCGGGCAGCGGGGAGCACGCAGCAGTGGGAGACACCGCAGCATTACCCTAGAAACCAGGAATGCAGGAGCCAGGAGCATCTTGGAGGCTCTGATCCAGCTGCTGGAGCTCCTCGGTGGAGGCCAGCCATCAGCAGAAAGGGTGTGCTGCCGCTCATCAGGGAGGGGAGAAGAGGTTTCGTGTGGGAAGAGTTGGGGAAAAGAGACTTTTCCACTTCCCACCTGGCTGAAGGTTAGCTCCCTTCCAGCTCCGCACGCCAGCGGAGAGCACCTGCCCGGAGCCGAGAGCCGAGTGGGGCTGTTCCCACCAGCCCTGCAAGCACTGAGGGAAAAACCTCCCCGTGGATCAAAAGGCCGTGCAAGCCCGTTCTCGCCACTCCATGCAGCTCCTGACAGAAATACCTTTGACAGATAAGGATGGGTGGTTAGTCGGGCTCCCACCACTTTCTCCCCTTGTCCTGTGAGAACTCGGCTGCTCCAGCAATGAGAGGGCTCAGGGCTCCGCTCCCTGCCTTTAAATCTAGCTGTACAAACTTGTGGTTGTTTACTTAGCCTGTGCTCTTGGGCTAGAAACAGTAATAAATCCCCACACCACCCTGCTCCTAAAGGCACATAAATCAGATTCTACTTTTCTTTATAATCCCCTTCCCTTTGAGACTGATTATTGATCCCTACAACTGTTGAAGATTTATTGCATAATAGTGATCCATCCCTGATAACTAGATAATCTCCTAAGGGTTCAGGGGCTTTTGCCATCAGTAGCTCATGCAGATGAAGCAAAGCTTAATAAATACATCTTTTCCTGCTTTTCTGGAATGGGCCTTTGCCCGTGATCAGGTGCAGACTACAAATAGCCTTCCATGTCATGTCATATGTGCACCGAACAATGCTATTGCAATGCATATGCCCAAAGGGGTACAGCTAAAATGACCAGCAATGCATTATTTTTTTTTCAACTGTGGTTTGCTTTCTCTTTTCCTGTTTTTTCCACCCGGTTTTCCTTTCTTGTGCTGTATAATGCAAGAAGCGAATGGTTTTGTTGCCTGGTTTTTGAAGGGATCCTTTTTCCTTCTTCTTTTTCTATTCTCGATGGGTAATTATGCCCCTCTCCTCACTGTAGTATCTAAATGTCTTCCAGTGGTGCATTAAATAGTGTGACTAACATCTGTCACATGTGGTTCATTCGCTTTCTCTTGCTCTCTCATCCCCTCTTCTTCTCCCCAAGGGGAGACTTGTAGAGGGAGTGGAGCGCTTTGTTTCTGTAGTGGATTTTTATTCTCTCTTCCCCCCCCCCCCCCTCCCCCGGCCATAATGCACACACTGTCCTATTTTTCTGTGAGATAAGGCGGTCAGAGGACATGGAGGGGAAGGTGATGGTGGTCTGGGCAGCCGCTGGTGCCCAGGGGAGTTGTCCCCGCAGCCTCAGCCGCGGTGTCGGCTCCCTCACAGATGACTTCATCCTGGTGATGGAGAGCTCCGCTGGGCCGGCGGAGCTGCGCTGCCGGGCACGGCCTTAATCCTCGGGCTGCCGGTGGGGGGTGTGCGGTGGTATTTTACAGATAGCTGGAATGTCAGTGCTGTTTCCCTAAATATCTAGGGGTATGCTCTTTCTTTAGAGATGGTAGCCATTATGCTGCATCTTGAGGGGGAAAAGAAATGGCATTCTCCTGTATCGTAAATAACCAAGGAGAAAATAAGTGAGGATTGTTTTTTTTCTTTTAAGTCTCAAAGCAAAATTCCCTTCCTTGCACTATCTCCTGGCCCATGGTCTCCTGACTCTCCTAATAGCATCCTTTTGGAAGCTTACCAGTAACACAATACTCCAGGGTCTTGGCCCATGAGACGTGTGTTTTGAATAGGAATGATTAGAGCTTCTTTTGAGGGAAACAAGCAAAAACACTTCCTTCCAAAACACACACACACACGTATATGTCCCTAAAAACACAAACAGCAAGAATGTAATGCAGATACCTCTTTCTCCCACCCCTTCCAGGTCAGGACTGCTGTAAGGTGAAAGAGGTGCAGCTACTCAAAAACATTTCCATTGTTCCCTTCACATTTGCTGATCCGTTCTGCCTTGCATGAGAGCCCTTCCTTGCTGCCATATTCCCTTGACACTTCCTTGAAACCACCCAACTATCCATCCGTTCTTTCCTCTGACATCTGCTTTCTCTCAGCTTGTCAGTGCTCAAGGGCAAAGAGGAGCACAGGAAAGAGGTAGCCTGGGATGCACATGTTCAAGAGACTGGGAGAGTTTCCAGAAACTGAGAAGCAGAACAGATTGGGGCCTATTCCTGGCTAGAGACCTATTTCCAGACGGCCAAAAACATTCCTAACCCCTAGACTAGTACCCAGGGATTAGATGAAAATAGGAGGGGAAGAGCCTCAATGTGGCTGTTGTCCGTGTGTTTGCACATTATGCGCAATGACTCCTCTGTGATTTTGTGGTGATGAGCATGGAAGGGCAAGAAATGAAGGACAACCTGCTCAAATGAATTAGCAAGCACCCAGGATGTGAGAGATCCAAATTTGTACTTGCTCTGGCACACGTTTGCTGAGGAAAATCACTTCATCGGTCTCTGCCTCAGCTTCTCCTCCACATTTGGGGAGACCCTTTCAGCAGGGTCTGTCTCATGTCCCTGTGCAGTGCCTGACACAATGAAGTCCTGCTCTGACTTATGACCACTAGACAGATAACTAACACAAAAGAAGAGGAATGTGGTAATGCTGCCTCTGAAAACAAGCCATGTTTCCAAACAGGACCAGAGGTAACCGAATAATGTACAGCTCCAGTCTCCTAGGTGTATAAGATGCCTTGGCCTCAAGCCTCAACCAGACAGGGACATCACACTGTGGAAATACAACTGAAAACAAATACAACTAAGGGTTGCTCCTGAGACAGTTCTAAATACCCAGTGCAATCGCTTGGGCTTTAAGGAAGTGAAGCTGTTTCAAAATCCAATCTCTTGCACATTATTTATGGGTCTCCTGGTGGCGTTGAAGAGAGCTGGTGTTGTCATCTTTCCCTCCTCATCATTCCCTGTAGAAATGGAAGGGAACTAACTGGGAACCAGTTTTCTCTTTGGAAGACATAGGTAAGTGACTTCTCACTAGGTCTTATTTTGTCCATCAAGTGTCAGGGCAGTTGAGCCTCAGGATATAAAAGGTCAAGAGTCTGGGGTCTGGCATTACTTTCTCCTTCCCTTCTGTACCTCTGTAAGAGAGTGAGAGTGGGTGATAGTCTGGAGAGTCACATCCCTCTGCCCTGCCCCTTGCTGTTGTTGGGAAGGGAAGGCAATATCATGCCAGAGGTCTGGCAGCTCCTCAGCTTCCCAACCCGACCTCCTTTCCAGACCTGTAGGACACAAAGTCCGGACAACTTCCATGTGGAGGGGATACCAGCTCCCTAAGAGTTAAAATGTCTCTGTATAAGAGCACAAAACCTCCCTAAAGAGGGAGGCACTACAGTCAACCATACCAAGTTTCGCTTAGGAAATGCTGTTAATTAGGGTCATCTGTGTCACCTTAATCCCAGCCTCTCCTTGTGTGTTGGCATGGCGATACTCTTTCATTACATGACATCCCATACTATTTTTTCCTGGAGGACCCCAGCCCCGGGAGTGCCATGGACAGCAGTGTCCTCTGAATGGATGTCTACTCAATATTTTCCTTTGTCCTCATCGCTCAGTGTCTGACTTCATGCATTATTTAGTGTGCTCTCTCCAGCCCCCACCCCACTCCACATAGAACTGCATGCTTCCTCCTGGCCTTTTAGGCAGGGCTTTGTCCAGGGATCAATGGCCCCTGGATGGGCAGATATGATTCAGCCAGAGGGGGAGCCAGGCTATTCGCAGCCACCTGTAGGTGATTAGATGGTAGGTGGCTGCTGAGCAGCCAACTAATGCCTGGTGTACTGATAATAGGCTGCCAGCAGTTAAAGTAGGAGATGCCTGCAGGGAGAGAAACTTTTACAAGAGGGTGAGTGATGCTCTGGGGAACCGTCTGAGGTGTGAGCTCCTGGACAGCTACAGGAGGCCTTGCCTGTAAGGGGAGAAGCTCTGTTAGCAGGAGGACGTTGAGGAGGGAAGAGTGTTACCAGGCAGAGCTCCTGAGCGGGGTTTGTTGGCTCAGGCAACGTCCAGGCTGAGACAAACCCCTTGTCTGAGGGCGGGATGGTGAGTCACAGCTCCTGCTGCCTGAGCAAGGGTCCTGTTGGGAATGAGTGCCTCGTGCTTCAGGGTGGTAGGTGCCACTGGTATTTCAAAGACAGCCCTCAGAAAACAAGGTTAGTGTGTGGAGGGGGAGGTTGGGTTGGGTTGCTAGGGCAGTAATAAACATAAGTAGTTTGCCCAACTTCTTTCTCCAAATCAAGGCATTGACTTTACCAACACCTTTTCTGCTGCTGGGGAGAGCCTGTTCATCAGGTACGTGGTTTTCCTCATCCAGTAGTTGGGTACCTCACCGGATGAGGCACTGTGCAGCCCTGTCCCATGCTGGGAGCAACTCCAGCCTGGGTGCTGAGGAGGGGTGGGGGCAGGTCACACAAATCTACTTAAACCACTGTCCTCAGCGTGTCTCTGCAAATGACCAGAGTGAGTGTGCACAGAAAACTTCAGTTTTTATGTTCTCTAACTGTGGTGCACTTAGTGCTGTATCCTTCAAGCTCTTAAATCGCTATTTGCATTTTCTATGTAAGCAGTCCTAAATGGTGTTCCCCACTTCCAGAGCAGCAAGCAAACGGCACAGCTGGACCAAAATAATCCTGCTGGCTACGCAGTGCTGTCGTGGAGTACCAGCAGGTTTGCAACCCCTCTCCACTCACCTGCTGTCAAACTCCGTCACGTTGTGCAGCTCTTTCCGGTAAGTCTCTAGCAAAACCCACTGGGAGCACTGGGCTGGCAGTGGGTGCGGAGGATGCGGCTTGGAAAAGCGAAATCGGACGGTGCCCGTGCGGGTGAAGCAGATGTAACAGTCGGGGAGGTAGGAGGCATTGTACACCAGCCAGTCCACACTCAGCATGGCGTAGTCGTGCAGGTGTAAGACAGCACCTGGTGGGAGGACAAGTGCATGCTAATAATGAGTCAAGGCAGCTGAGAAGAAGGAGCCAAGGTTTAATGTGATGATAGTTTGAGTTTGCCCAATCAGGGGCATCTGGAAAAGCTTCTAGATGGCTATGAGTGATCTCTCCCAGCAAAGACTGCGCGGCTGCTCTGCATCCCCCGGGCTAGGGGATGTGGCCCTCTCCACATCAAACACTGGGCAGGCAGAGCGTGACAGCTCCCTGGGAGCACAGGGAGGGGGGAAATCAATAGGGAGCTCTGCTTCTCCACTGGGATGGAAAATGCTCCGAGTTATTAAAGGTCTTTCAGACAGACTTTGCTGTGAGCTGGCTCAGGCCCCACTGATTTAAAGAGGAACTCACACAGTAGGCAGCAGTTTACAAGGCATGCTAGCTGTCTGGAACACCTGAAGCAAAGCTCTGTATCTAAGCTGTTTGAATCCCAGCTTCAATTTTTGCAGCCAGTCTGTGGCTCTTCTTTCAGCTCTCTGAAACTCTGGCATACACCAAAATCCCAGACCATGATACATTGGGGAATTGCACTCAGATGCAGAAGTACAATCTACTTCTATGCCTTACCAAGAGCATACTCACTCACATTGTACATCTGCTGCTGGCCAACACAAAGGGCCTCTGGGGTGCTCTGTTATTGTGCAGTATGTTGGCAACTGCCAGTCTTCCTGGCACAGGAAGCATTCTCTGTATGCTCACCTTCCTCATCGTTTCATTGGGCTAAAATCTCTCCTTCTGCAGAGACTTCTTATGCCACTGGTGCTTGAACTAAACTTCACCTTTGTAAAGGGAAGATACTGTGAGAGCTGAAGTCCTAGATATATATTTTATTAGTCTAGGGGAGACCTCATGGTCAGAATAGCTTTGATAGCCTTAGGGGTAAAGAGAAAAAACATGAATAGCAAGAACAAGACAGAAGACTGGTATGTATTTGACATTAGACAAAGTTCAAGACTAAAATTTATAGTGAACTAATCTGATATAGACTTTAATGTGCATAACCTCCCAGTGCAGGCAGAGGGACTGCCTGTTAAGATGCCGAGGAACTGTGGTTGCTGCTCTCAGCAGAGCCAGTGTGACAGGCTGGCCATGCTGCAGCTGTCTAGATCTGACCCTCCTCAAGCTGGCAATGTCACCTTCTTTCCTATGTGAGCAGCAGCAGAACTGACAATAGTGCTTGAAACAACAGGAACTCCCAGGGGCTCTTATCAAGACTAGATCCTACTCAAACAGCTACAAGGATGTGATCTCGGCCCTAAAACCCGACAGCTCTTGCAAAGATTCCAAGAAGCCATTTTAACATCTCCTGGGCTGAAAAGTGTTAACTATTTGTTTTGATTCCAGCTTGGTATCAATGACACTCCACTGAGTGAAGAGGGGAGGGTACTTTTAAATTCTTTAGTGTTTACATTTCTGACATAGTAATCATTTACGGTAATAAATTAGGATGCTGCAAGACAGGGATCTGCATCCCACAGCAGAAACTGGGAGGCAGAAGTAGGGAAGGTTGCTTAAGGTCCCATCCAGCCTGGCCTTGAACACTTCCGGGGATGGGGCATTCACAACTCTCTGGGCAAGCTGTTCCACTGCCTCACTACATCTGAGGGAAAGACTTTTCTTCTAACATCTAATTTAAATCTCTCCTCTTTTAGTTTAGTACTGTTCCCCTTTGTCCTGACACTATCTGCCCAAGTAAAAAGTTTATCTCACTCTTTTATAAGCCTACTTTAAGTGCTGGAAGTACTCAGGCTTTGACTTGTATCCAACAAGCAAAGAAACTTGCAGTGCTGGAGGTAGCCCCTTCGTCCTCTATTGCCCCTAACTTTCCAGTAGATGTCCAGGTCTGCTACAGAACTGCTCTCAGAAAGTCTTTTTTGGAGATACAGTACTTTTGGCTAAGCTGTGGAATAAGTCGAGGTTGGTAGCACGTCTGTGAAATGTGTATGTGGGAAAAAGAAAGGCCCTGGCTGGAACATGCTGAGCAAATGTGGATGTTATGTCTTGTTGTCCGTGCTTCCTCTGCCCTTTCTCCACTCTTGAAAGGCTGAAGAATCCATATTGTAAGTTAAACCAAATGCCACAATTGCTGGAAATGTGTATTCATCCAATCCATCCCCCTCTTCCTCTTTCTCCCTGCCCCGTCCCTGAGCTCAGAGGCTGGGCTTTTCCTGGAACCCAGGGAGCACCACTTAACAGCTCTCATAAGATTCCCTCACACACCTCGTGCTTTGACCCAGCTCAGCCACAGAAAGCGAAAGGTGAGACAAGGATGGGTAAGGTGAGCAATCCTTAGGCCAAGCCTACCTTTAGGCATGCGCTTTAAGATGCTGAACACCGTGCTCTGATCAATGAGGCTTTTGGCCCGGAAGAAGTGCATGCTTGGGGGAAACTGTCCCGTGGTTATGGCTGTTGCAACTTCCTTCTTCTTGAGGTTTACGAGCTTCGTACTGAGCTGCTCTTCCTGCCTACTCAGCACCAAATTGCCCCCTGTCTGTCGGGCTCTCTCCTCCTGCATTAGGGAGTCCCGGTCCTTCCAGAGTGGGGTGGGGAGGCAGAGAGGAGCCAAACTCAGGAGGAGGTATGCCAGCTTTATGCCTTGTCCAGCTGAGGGCCTCATCTTAGAGCTGCACCTAGGCAGGGGGGGAAAGATTGAAGCGTTAGCAGAGGTGAGAAGTGACATCTGAGCAATGAGCCCTTGGGATATGAAGTTGTGACACAACTTCTGCAGGATGGGCCAGCTGGATGCTCAGTGCTGAGGAAAGCACCTGGTACTACTGTCCCCTGTATTTAGGACTATGCATTAGCACACTCTCCATGATGATGATTGCACACAGCAAGACTGTGGGGAGGGGGAAGAGCAGATATTGAACCTTGGATCAGACTGGCAGCACATCACACAGACCTGCAATACAGCAAAGGTCTATCCCTGGAATGGGAGATTCGTGGGGTCAGGACTCTGCTTGCAAACTGTGATAGAGCCCTGTCTGAATAAGAGGTGCTGGTGACAAGGTCGTGGCTGTGCTGATCCCAATAAGGGAAGCATGGGCCACGGGATTTGAGGTGCTTTTGGCTTTCGCTTGAGCTAATCAGATCCTGCTTCTCTACAGTCAAGAAAGGACCGCCTTGCACCCTTTCAGTATAATCCAGCTCTCAGAGGGGTTAATTTATAGGAAGAAACCCCCATAGCTTCCTCTGCAGTGATAGAGGTGTGTCCCTTCTTTGCAATCCCAGAAGAAAGAGGATGGACGTTAGACCATGGGAGTACTAAGAGATTGCAGGAGACAGGCACATGTGAAGTCTGAGAGCTCTGCCCTTCCCCAAAAAAGCACAACTGCAACATAATCCTTCAACACCAGGCTTTAGTGGCCCTCCTCGCCAGCCTCTCCAGAGCAACACAGGCTGGAGAAGGGCTCGACATTTTAAAACGGTCCCCTGTGGATTACACAGAAAGTCCCTGCTTGTGCACGTGTTTTCTGCTTCCAGCCTCTCCTCCACCTGTGGGCCCACAAGGATGCCTTTGGCCCCGGTAGTGGATCCCACGAGATGAAGGCATGCTGGGGGAGCAATCAGCTGGGAACAGAGCGGGGAGAGGGGGGAGGTGGATGCATCCTTACATCAGGCCTGGCTCTGAACTTAGAAAGAGAAACATCCTAAAAAAGGTGTTATCCCTGGTGCGACTGACTCACTTACTGTTAACTCGCCTCTTCCTCGCATCCAGCGCTCATCCAGCTGCCGCCCGAGAGAGCGGGGAGCAGTTCTCTCTCCAGCAAGCCGGCACTGTCCCGGCAAAGTTAAGGAGGCAGGATCGGTGCCGGCGCTCACAGTTCCTCTTCCTGTGCTGCCGCCCCGGCTCGCTCGGCTTTTATTTATCCCCGGCCTTGCTGCCTCATGAATATATAAAGAGGAGGAGGAGGAGGCAGGGGAGGCGATGAGAAAGCGGGACGCGGGTGGCCGGGCCGGCGGCTGAAGGGAGCCCTGCTCAGACCGTCCCAGGAATACACATAAGTTCGGCTATCTAATCCGATACACAGTACAGTGCGTTTAATGCCAGCAAAAACACTGCAAATTCTGCTTACTAATGTTTTTTTTACCCGAAAAAGCAGCAATTCGTACAATTAGTTTTAAACGATTTTGCCCGGTCTTTGCCAGCTGTGCGGATCAGGCAGATGTCAATCCAGCCGGCTGCCCCGGGACTACATCGGGAACGCAGGACTAAGCTTGAGCCTGGGGAGTAAGTCAGGTGGAGGGGGGGCAGTCCGATCGAAAGAAAAAAAAAATCACAGCATATATAGTAATTTCAGCGTTTTATTTTGAGCACTTGAATGGACTGAGTTTTAAACTTATTTAAAACAGATGTTACATAAACAGCTTCCAGTGGAGAACAAAGTCCATTTGGTTTAATTTAATCAAAATTTTAACGACTTTAAATTTGAATTAAAAAATAGAGAAAGATCTTGTAAGCCAAAAGCTATTGAAGACAACCCACAGCAGTCGCAAAGATCGTTTTTGAGGCAGAGAAAGTGGAATCTGGTCAATAATATGTTACATTTTGTTATCTAGCAATGCTGCAACAGACTGAAAGCAGAGTGGAGAGCCCACTCTGAATAACCCAGCTGGACACCTGCCAGATTTTCCTCCTCTCCTGATCCCTTTACTCTTTGCTGTCATCAAGATGGATCCCAGGATCCATGCAGGGGTAAGCCAAGGATCTGCAATACTCTCCAAGCCCTGGCCAGGGCAGCATGGCCAGAGAGTGCCCTCTTGCCTGCTCCTCAGCAGGATGGGGTATTTCTTGGATCTGTAGATGATCCTGCTCCTAAAGGGAGATCAGAGTTGTGGAAAAATGACACAAATATGCTCAGCAGCAACTATTAGTTGATGAAAGCAACCCAAGGATGGGAGGTATGAGGAGGGAAGTGCGTGGAGTGAAAAAGGATGGTTCAGTAAGGACAGGCATTCTGCCTGCAAAGAACTTCAAGGGAGCAATTTCAGTGAAGAAAGGGAATTGCTCTAATTATCTCATAGTAGTAAAGCCTGGCATTAGTTCCACAAAACCAAATTCAGGCTAAGCAGTTAGAAAACTCTCTCTGCAGTCAGGCACTAGAGACAGGTTGCCGGTGTGGAGCACTGACAGGGGTTAAAATGCTATGTGAAGGATCTCAAACATCTTACAGCCGGACAAGGGTCTTGGAAATGCCTGCCAGAGGGCCTCTGAGATCTGCAGCAACTGATTTATCCTGTCAAATCGAGTTTGAAAAACAAAACTGAAGTCCAATGCTAAAACACTTTTTTAATGGCACTTTTTCACGTAAGCAGTTGCAGGCATTGCCAGGAGAGTGCTGTACAGATGTTGTGAGGGTTGCGCTAGGAAATAAGAAGGTGTTTGAGATGCTTTACTCCCTAGTAAAACGTGGTACATGCTCTGAAAATAGAATTCATGGTGAATTAGACCACAGCTGCTTTAAGGCAGGATCCGCCTGGGCACGAGAGGTGGAAGGAGGACAACCTCACAGGACAACCCAAGCCAGGGTATGGATGTCACCAGCCAGGAGCCTGTGGGAGGACCTGGGTTCCTCTGGTGCCTGCAGGCATTCACAGCCCTGGTTTCAGACCTCTCTGGAAATGGGAGTCATGGTACAGAAGGACTTGCCCTGTATAAAGGCCTAACAAGGAATGTTATAGGTGAATTCTTGCTGAGAAGCGGGTAGCCCGCCTGGAAGTTGTGCAATAGTCCTGCGTGTCTCTCCACAAGACTGTGATTGCAGTTCCTGTCCAGTCTTAGCTGGTTCCTGAAATAATCTGGAACTCCCTGGCTCTGGTCCCACTTGCTGTTTAGCCAGGGCTGATAGGGGCACCAATCATGCTCTGTCTTTCATCAAGTAGCCCAGCCATTCCCTGGTTTTCTGGGTGGTTTCTTGCCTATGCTGACCTCCCAGCTGCTGCAGCTGTACCTGGCAGTGTTCCAAAGCCCCGCTTAAAGCTGCCACGGGTGTGTCTGTGCAAGCTGCAGGCATAGCCGTTCTTTAGGCCCAGCTGCAGGTCAGACGCATGGGAAGCTTTAAATAGCTGGTGGCCAGCACTTAGTGCTCTTGGCGAATTCCCCTTGGTTCAGTTTCAGTTCCATAGGCAGACCAGTTTCTTTCAAACCTTTCAAGCTTCTAGGAGGCGGCAGATACAGTCAGCTCCAGCATGTTTTCCCACCTCTCCTTCCTGCATCTTTCCTGCTGCAGCCCCAGCTGGGTGCCTGCTCCCATCGTTCAGTCCCTTGCAGCAGCGGTGCAAAGGAAAGTATGAGCAACTGTGGGGAACTGCAGGAAGGGGGAAGGACCACAGAGGCAGCAGCAGCTTTAGGCTTGTGGATTTGTGTTTTTCACTTCATCTTTCAGCTCAGCACCTCACACAGTGCTTTACAGCATCCTGCAAAGTCCACCTTTCTGCTGCAGCCTCTGCCTGGAGGGTCACCTTGCTTCGTGCTGCTGCAGATCCCAGCCCCTGATTAAAGCCTGGCAGTGTGTGTAGGTGATAGCAAAAGATGCAGCGATAGCAAATCCAGCAGAGGCTGGACCTGGGGGTGATGCAGACTTCGCTGTGCTTCCTGTGTGGGCAGCCCATCTTGTGTAAGCCAAATCCAAACCAAGGAGCATTTCTGAGTGTACAGAGGGGCAGGATATCTTTTAGCTTTCTCGCCTCTCTGGATGTGCTGATGTCTAAGCTGTGCATAGGAAATATCACCGAGAGGCCGGGAAGATAAGGCTGGAGCTGGGAAACACATTCCCAGCTCACCACTTAGCTATTCTGTCCGTGCCAGCTATTCTGTCTGGCCTCATTTGTGAAATGGGACCAATTCCCTGCCTAGCTTCAGTGGTTATTTGCTGTATTTGCCAGTGAAAAAGCCGTGGTCCCCTGGACAGTGGCTGGATGGCTGCTGTTTGAAAGCAAGTCTGCATAAGGGACACAGCCTATTTTGGAGAGGAAAACCATGAGGTAGGACAAGGGGCTGGAATACAGCCATAGGGGAGCAGGTGCACAGGTGAATGAGGGCAAGCTGTGGAGAGTCTCTGCCTCTCTGCTGGGCCTGGGCAAGACCATAGTGTCAGTCCCAGCTCTGAAGCAGTCCCATCCCCTGGTTTAATGCCTGCAAAATGCTTAGAACACGTAAAAGTGCTAAGTGCTATAAATTATTGTTAAGAATAGCCTGTCCTGGGATGCTTGGGACGATTAAAACCTCCCCACTGGACTGCTAAATAACCCCTGTTTTTGTCTAACTGGGCACAGGTTGGTGTTTTTATTTCTTTCCACCCCACTTTGTGCCCATCCAGGCAAAAATGTGGGCCATTTCCCAGCCCAGCAGGGACATCAGTGAGAGCCCTGCAGCAGAGAGAATGCTGGTCTGCCCTGGGTCTTGCTGGCAGCATTGCTCCCCAGTCTACAGCCAAGCTCTGCTCACCCTCAAGATGCTCCATCTCCCTTCCTAAACCCTCCCTCCCCTTAGCTGCACTACCATGTCTCAGTGCATCTGTGCTTCCACTCCTCAGTACAGCCATAGCTATCCAATGATTTAAAATGAATAAGACACTTGAGATGCTACAAGAACAGGAGCTGCTGATGGAGAGAGCCAGGGAAAGAGCTAAACACCACAGTTAATGATGAATCATTCCAGGAGCGGAGTCACTGATTTGTAATCATTGCCTGGCTCCCAAATATAATAGCCATGAATTCCTCTGACCAGCAACTGAGACAAGGTGATTGGACTATTCCCAGCACACCTGCAGAAATTCAAATCTTGCTCACAAGAATGGACTCAGGGCTTTGGAAGCCAAGCAACTCCGAGCTCCAACAAGAGGAGCACTGCAGCCAGCACACACTCCAAGCTGTTGCTGCTCTGCTAAGCTTAGCATGCAAATAAATAAGTGAAACTGCACCATTTCCTCCAAAATCCTCCACCCGTGTGCATCCCAATTCCCTGCTGCTGTTATCACACACTGGAGGTCTGGGAAGGGGAAGTACAAAACAAAGTGAGCTTGTGTGTACAAGCACCTTGTTGCTTTGGAAGCAAACAGCAGGCTGCCAAGGGCTCCCAGGGCAGGAGCTGAGAGCCTTGGGTATTTGGGAAAGAGGCTCAGCACCACCCAGGACAGGTCCCATGCTGTCACCAAGGTTTCTATGCAAAGTTTCCCAGAGACTATTAGTGCAGCCTCAAGTTTATTATCTGTATTCTTGTACTCTCTCCCTCTCCTACCTACAGAAGCAAATATGAGAGCAAACTAGGCAACTGAAATATGCTGAATTATTAGCAAGTGTACTTGACTCACTCTCCCCAGGGGATGACTTTGGGGAAGAAAGAAGCCCAGTGCCACTGTGGGAAGTGTTTTCTTGCTTTTTGCATTACTCACATCAGGTTTCCTGCCTGACCCATGGTGTCTATCCATCAGCAGGCTGTGGTGACTCCCAGGGATCAGTGACTCCCAGGGGGGTGGGGTGGGGGGGTGGTGGCCTTAGTATAAAGAGATGGGCAAAATTCCTTTTCCTAAAAGCTATATTCCACCCAAACATCCTTTCCACTCCCAGCCTCCTATTCCACCTACATGACTTTCCCAGCCAGAACCTAAAACGAACCTCCTCTCTGCCCTAATCCTTCCACCTCTGCCCCCAAAGTCTGTCACAGACGGACACAGAGGATCTGAGTTCATCCATGGTCACTCTGCAGCTGTGAGATTCCCTGTGACCTCTGCCAGCACATCCTGTGTCTCCATGTCAACCACCTCCTCATCTCACTGGCTCTCCATTTCTCTGTATCTACATCACTCACGTTGCTCCACCATCACAAAGACTTCAAGCCCAATCAGTAAGAAGTACAAGGCCCTGTAGCAGCAAAGCACCGTGTTTCTCTCTCTCACCCTGGGCTCTCATAGAAGTCCCACCAGAAGACACATATACTACACTGCATCCCAAAGCTATGGCTCCATCTTATACTCTGAGGCTCCAGGAGTGCTTTGGAAGAGAGGATAGCAAAGGCTGGGACCACTCTGGTAGCTACACCCAACCTTCAGCTGCTCAAAAATCACCCTGCTCTGTACGGTTTCTTCTCCATTTGTGTGCGAGGCAAGCAAGTCAGCGTTTGGAACGGGTTTGTAATACAAAGTTAACAGTAGTGAGGAGCATTTGAGTTAAAACCTGACTGCCCAAAAGTGCCTGTCTTGTAGCCAAGCTTCATCCTGCCTAGGCAAACCTCCAAACTTTATTAAAAGCCTTGAGATGTCAAAACAAAACTTCTACGTCGTTCCCTTTACAGGTACCTCCGTACACCATGCCACAAATGCAGACACTGGCTTCAAGCCAGTCAGCACTAGTAGCACTGCCAGCAAAACATCATTCCCCCAAGCACTACCCAGCTCCTTAGGCAGGGCTGGGCTCTGCTGGGATTTATATTGCTATCAGCTGTAGCAACACCTGAGCAACAGAGCTCACAGCAAGGTGAAGAGTGTTCACAACACCAGCCTCCTGCCCAGGGCACACACTCAGCAGCAGCGCTCAGCCACTTGGGATCATTACAGACAAAGCTCAGGGCATTTCTGGCATGCCTAGACTTGTTCATCCTGTTCTTCAGAGGCATTTCAGCCCAGCCCATAACACTGTGCCTCTTGTCCCCTGGCACCTCCCAGCCTTATCCTGCAGGTACAGTCTCACCTTCAGCTGAATCACTGATTGCCCCGAGAGGTGCTCTGTCACCAAAGCACTGCAGCACTCCCTGCATCACCACAGCAAGCAGCAAAGCCCTCAGTGCACCCACCCTAACCTGGCTGACCAGAAAGGCATGAAACACATAGTTCAGTGCCACTTTTGCAAGACCTTCAGCAACAAGCTGCAGTGTGATCACTGAACTCACAAAGTGAGGCACAAACAGAGGGTTCAAGGAGGCTTGTAAGGTTTTCGAGCCCAACAGCCCATGTCTTTTGGTATTCACGAGAATGCAACCAGTTCTCAGCCCAGCTTGGGAACAGATAGCTCAAGACCACCTTCTTTCAACCACTGGTGAGAAAGCCTTGTCTCTGGAACCTCACAGAGAATGGCCCCAGGTGTGATGCCATGAGCTTCACTGTACAGCCATCACCTGTGGGTGGAAGCACAGCTGCTGGAACCATCCCTTCCAGCTCACCCCTGGGATCCCAACCCACACCTAGCAAAGCCCTGTCCAGAGTGACATGTTAGGAGCCCTGGGGTGCAATTATCACCATCTACCTAAAACTCACCATTCCCATGGCCCTCCTCAGTTCGAGAAACAGCCCTCACGGCTGCAGCACACAGTAAGATTTTGGCATGTGGCACATACGTGCAGGAATGCTGCTGCTCATCCCTGCTTTGCATCATAATATGTGAGAGCTTCTTCCTTTATGTTCTGCCTGATCGATATGTCCTCTGCAGGCTGTTTCCCGCTGTGGTTCCCCTCTGCTGGTGACAGCCGAGGCAAAATCCCAAGGCACATCAGGGACATAGGCATCAGTCAGCATGTCAGCCGGGAGGAAGCCTCGAGGCTGGCTGCTCCATGGAGGAAGGTGAGCAGAGGGTGACGGAAGGCAGGCACGGGGCAGTGACGACATTGGCAGAGGCACAGCCCCACGATACCCAACCAAGAGGAACAGCTCAGGTCTGGTGATGGCAATCGGGTTCAGCCAGGCAAGTCCACGGTGACGAGACAGATCCAAGGTCAACTCAGGGACCGAAGTCCACAGGCCAAGGTCCACTTAAACAGGGTACATGGCACAGGCATGGCTGCAACACAGCTGCAAGGTAGCCCAGCTGGGGAGCAAGAGCCTCAGCTAGTGAACAGCAGGACAGGCCCTCACCGGGGCTTTTTAGCACAGCTTTTTTGAAGAGCTCTCTTCAACATCAGACACTTGTGCGATTATCTAAGTCAGCCCTGAGCCCAGGGAGCCAAACCCCCGGGGGGATGTACTCAGTGTCCTGACACTAGACACCATGCTGTGTGAGCCTTCTGAAGGCAGGTGTAGATGCAAGAGATGACTTTAATCTGCTGCCAATCTCCAGGCTGAAGCACCGCAGCTCCTCAAATGCCTATGATAACAGCAGTGGGCATTTTAAAGTAAAAGTTCCTTACCAGACACCCTTATGACAGACACTTTCTGCAGCAGTGAAGTTCTCTACTCTTGACCACATGGAAAGCAATGTGGGAAGTTGCTGTTAGAAAAGAGGGTGGATAGGGAAATGGTAAACTGCATAAAAATAGCTGTTTTAGCAAAATTTTGAAATTTGCTGGGGACAGAAATCAGTGCAGTGCATAGGAGGGAATCCTGCCTCGGGGGTAATATGTGCATGCACAGACCTTCTTAAGCTAAAACAATATTCATGTTTTCACTCTGGAGGGGGAGAACTATCAGCCAAACTGAACTTCTGACTCCAGCAATTCTGATAGTTCCTGTTTATTCACCCTGTTTTGAGTTGGACCCGAACCAGATCCTGTCTGCATCTCTCTTGGGTGTTCAGAACCCACCTCTGGGTGATGACAGGAAAGATCAGGAGAAGAGGGGGCTAACATCCACCAGCACCTTCTCTGGACCAAGACTACAGTGTGTCAAGGTACAACAGTGTGCTGAGTTCAAACATTTTAGCTTAAACTCTGCTTCCAGCTTCTCTCCAGCAGAGTCCTCCTGCAGTACAAGAAACCAGGCTTTATAGAAGACACGGAGGGCTGTGCCACAGGCACTGAGACACAGCCAGGCCGCAGCTTGTTGGAAGGGAGCACCTCCATCACCATGAAGAAAGAAGATCCAACAACTGCATTTTAGTCTGGGGGCATCCTAATGTCTCTGAAACTGCTGGCCCATCTCCTCCTGCCACTGTCTCAGCCCAGCATGCCTCACCCATCACCACACTGATGTAAAGCTGTAATTGCCAGCGTGGGGATGGGGGCCTGGGGGAATTCTCTGAGGCAGTCAGGCTCTCCAGCAGCCTGTCAGCTCCCAGGTCCACAATGGAAATTAATCACTGAAGCTCAAAGAAGCGCACCTTAAAAAAACCCCAACAAACACCACTGACTATGCTGAGGAGGCAGGGCATGTCCAGCCTGTTGAAATGACATGGTAATTAAAACTTAATGAAAAGTGTCATTTATCGATGAGTTGTATTAACCTTGTCTGAAACCATTTGGACAAATTAAAACTCCTCTTGGTCTTTTCCTGCCGTGTTAAAAGCAGCAAGTCACGAAACAAATCAATGACGCCAGCCACATTGGCTCTTTGTTTGGGGCAGAAGAAAGCTTTGCTTTTGGAAAGCTTCAGCTGGCATGGCTTCAGCCAGCAAGACGCTGCCTCTTGGCCTCTGCCAGGGCCCCTGCTGGCGAGCCCCAAAAGAGATTGCCAGGGTACTTACATGGGCACATAAAGAATGCTCCCAAAAGCGCTGCCGGGGACCAGCTGTCCCACTCCGGGGGACACTTCCAGGTTATTTGCATGAGTAGATATAAATGTATGCCCCAGAGAACGCTGCCAAGGCCCCTGCTGGCACGCAGCAGCGGCTGCTGCTGGGGTACTGGCCCCAGCACAAAGCAGCATGGGCCTCGGGGTGAGGCTGTCATGGACCCCCATGCGTGCATATCTCACCCCTGCGAGGGTGTTTCATAGCACAGCCCCTCACGGGTTCATGAGGGCCCTGCATCCCAGCTGGATCTCTATCTGCTGCCTCTGTGCTGGCCTCAGACCTGTAAAGCAGAAAGACTGCCAGACCTTGAGCTCTTTCCTTCCCTCGCCCAGCTGCGTCCGTCTCTCTGCAGCCCCACGACAGCTGAGCAGCTCAGCACTGTGCCACCTGCTCCCCACCTCCAACACACAGCCTTCCAAATCCCATGCACAGCCACCCCAGGGACGCTCAGTGCTTTGCCTCTTTGGCTGCACTCTCCTTCCTCGGGGCTCCGGAGGTCACAGAGGCCATGGGCCAGTCAAGGGGCGTGCAGTGTCCAGGAAACAATTGGACACCTTGGGAGGAAATTAAACACACCCGGCTTCGGCAGGGAGGGCAAGCCAGCCCTGTGCATGCCTGCTCCTCACACAGCCAGGTAAGGTGAGCAGCAGTGGGCAGGAGAAAGCACAGGGGACAAACGTGATGTCTCAGTCTTCCATGCACTATTGGGGGTTCTCACAATCTGCTCACTACGGCTTCTGCTAAGAGCCACCCCTAAACACACACTCACACGTGCTGTCAGGTTTGCTTAGGCTGTGACCCTGATGCTTCCCCCTGCGGTCCTGGCCGTGTTCAGGGGGCTGCTCTTCTCCGCCTTCGCTCATCTGCTGTGCTCGGCAGCCGCTGACTTGCCACAGGCCATGGCATGTGTGAAATGCACTCAGTGTGTGGATATGGTGGTTGAGCTCCAGTTGTTCTCATACAATCAAGCAGACACACCAGGCTGGTCCCTTTTTGAGTGCTGTTAAATCCTTGGTCTCCACTACAGCAGCCAGTGACACAAGGAATTGTGTCCCTGGGCCAGCAGCCCTTCAGCGACTGCAGTTGGTACATGCACATTGCTGGCAGCCTGCAGGGATGTTTAAACAGGTAAAACACTTTTAGGCAGAAAACGTTTAGGAACTTTCCCTTTGGAAATGTGAATGCTGCAGCACAGACAGTGAAATCAACCTCTGGGAAAAATAAATCTAATAAGAAGAAAGTTTGCTTGTTTGCTCCCCACCTGAGCAGGTATTTCAGCTGTGGAACTCGCTCCTCCAAGACATTTGTACAAGGCAAAGGATCTTTTACACTTTTTCATAAGTGCCTAACACAAGCCCTTCCCGGAGTGAGGACTCTGTGGACATCTCCCTTGATCCATCCCTCTAACCTTGCATTTCCCTCAGGACTGGTCAGCATTACAGTGGGTATATTCAGTGCTCGGCAGTTTAAGTAGAAGTAGGAAAACTGGTTTTGTGTTTGATCGAACTAACTCTTCCTCTCTTCTAACTCTTTGTTTTTGCCAGAGATCAGCATCATGGGCAGGGAACACAAAAACCTCCAGTAGGTAGGAGCAGGAGAACATCCCTACTGATGAAACATTTCCCAAACTCCACAGGCAAAGGCTGAATTTAGCTTTGGTAAGCAGGACTTACATCACTAGAAGTTTTTGTTATTTTTATTATAGCTTTTAATATTGCCTGTAATAATGTTTGAGACCAGCTGAACTCTTTTCTGAATCCTGCTAAGACCCCTGGGCTCCATCACACGTGGCAGAAGCAAGTTCCACAGGTAAGATGTGAAGAGTGTGAAAAGATACTGCCTTCAATCGTCCTGATATGATTTCTAATGTAACAGAATATCTCTGGTGTTCACACAATGAAACACAGAAATGAGTTCCCAGTGAATCTTTTTGAGCTGCTCATTCTATTATGGAGTTTTATCAAGCTACAAAGAAGGGAAAAAAAAGACTTTGACTCAACCCTGTCTGGGGAGGAAAATGCCTTTGTTTTTCCTGTGGGGTTCTGCTTCCCATTTGCATTCAGAATTACAAGTACTCTGTCTAGTGTCATGAGTAATTTCTTAGTACTCTTCCCTTTCCTGCACCTTGGGTTTATCCAGTCTTCTTGCAATAGCAACACCAGTGTAGGAGATTTAATATAAAGTGTTTGTAAGCAAAATCTGCCATATTGATAAGGGTATACGAAGAGGAAAACTCCACTAAAGCCTCAGGCCTCCTCTTTAGTTTTCAGGGTTGCAAAACATAAAAAAAAAAATCCTTTTTTATTAAGTTGGGCAAACATGATCCAGAGCAACTGAGAGACAGATGTGGAACCCCATGATGCCAGGGCTACAGACTCGCTTTTCAAGCTAAAACAATACTTTAAAATGAACAATTCATTACTCAGATCTGTGAGAACCAAATGAAGCTCAGCCTTTCCTAACCTTGACATTTTCCAGACTGCTGGCCAAATCCACGGGTAGGACACTTCATGTAGAATAGAGGAAATAAGGCAAGAACTGTTTATTCTGCTGGAAGTCATGTTTTAAAATATAATAGGATAAAAGCTTTATTTTATTTGAAGTGCTGGAGAGACCAAAGGAAATAAATTCACATCTTCATTTTATATTGAACTTACTCTGTAGAAAGGCATTGTTTTTGAAGGTAGTTGAACTTCCTGCTTTCTCCCATATTTGAGATGTTTTTTTTTTTAAACAGCAGTTTCAAGGAATTATTTTTCACTTATTCACTTACTATTTCATAAGTGTTAAAGCCTTTCATTTCTCTCTGAAATCCTTTGACAAAGTTGTCTGGTTGTAAAGAGCATCAGAGTTTGCTTCTGATAAAGGTGTGTGGTTGTCTTGTCTGTGTCACTGCAGAAAATGAGCCAAAGAATTGAACTGTGGCCTCGCTCAGTGCTGTGTCTTCTCTTGAGTGCAAGGCTTCTCCATTAAAGATCTTGTTTTATTCTTCTAACATGATTTGTTAGCTTTCTGAAAAGAGACCTCAAGATGCCTCAGGATGACCTTGCAGAAGGAAGGAAACCTGAAGTGCAGGCTGTTCTTGCATTATGAACTTACAGCAAACCTTTGCAGAGGGTTCAGTATTGTTGCTAAATAAATGTAGAACCACTGTACCATGCATGGAAAACAGGGAAAGCAAAGCTATGTGTGAGCGTTCCTGGCTTTATGAAAAAGACACTCACTTAATGACATCTTGCACGTAAGTAGAACAGAACAGCAACCTACATAATTTAAATAATTTCAATTCAAAGGACTATAAAATCCCATTCTTCCCTCCCCACCTTTCTTAGAATGTGGGGACAAAATGCTATGTGTCCTTTTTGGTATGGGGTGGGAGTTTAAGATGGTGGATTCAAGTTTGTCAGTGTAAAAACAAGTCAGGTGTGGTTAGCAGATGATACTATATTTTTATAGATATTTGAAGAGCTTGTCACTTATAGGTCTGAATATAACTATTCCTATAATCTGTTGATACAAAATGAATTTGTGCTCAGTAAAAAATTTAGAAGTCAAAGCAGCTACCATCAGTATTAAACTTCTTGGTCTACAGTAGACTTTGGTGTCTAAAAATAGTGTGCTGGATAGGGAATAGAAGATGCAGCAGCCAAACATTTTTGTTTTGATCTGCTGCACTGCTTGATAAAGCCACAATTTTGAGTCGTAGGGTAAGGGAAGAAGGGGAGACCTTCAGGAAAGCAGAGATGTGAGGAGAACAGGAGGCAGAAGATGGACTTTGTTAAAGGTGCTGCCTGTTCTCTTGATAGCAGATTAATGATCTGTTGAGGGGACTGCGGTGCTGGGAATGCCTGAGGTGCCGTAACTTCTGGGAGTGTAGGGCAGCTGGGAGTGCCCAGGCTGTGGGGAAGAGCTGCTCCTGCCTGGACATCCGACACAAGTTCACTGGGCCTGAAAAGAGAGACAGGAGCTATTGCCAAGGGTCACCTTCATTCTTGCCCCCAGGAGCATCCCAGTTTGTGGGGTCAGGGTTGGTCCCTGCCTTTGATGCAGGAGGGTTCAGGATGGACAAAAGACAGAAGCAGCCAGAGCATCAGGAAAGACTGAGAGTGATGCAGTGGGAGCTGCAGTTTTGTCTGTGCCATGTTCCTTATGGCAGATGGTTGCTAAGGACTCTGAGGGTGCTGGTGCTGACAGGGGTCTCCATTCTGCCCCCGGCAGCCTGCCTGATGCCTCACGGGATGGAAAAGGGTTCAGGGGATGAGGGTGTCACCTGCCCCTCCAGGTGGCTGTGGTTGGCAATGCCTTGGGCTGGAGGTTTTGGTCAGTTCCCAGAGCAGGGCTGTTGCTGGCAGTGAGACTTGACGGAATGAGTCTCACACCCTGAGGGCTGTGCAAGATGATTAGAGGGACAGAACACCTCTCCTATGAGGAACTGGGATTATTCAGCCTAGAGAAGAGATGGTCTCTGGGGAGACCTCATCGTGGCCTTTTGGTTACTAAAGGGGAGTTATAAGAAAGATGGGACATATTTTTTTAGTAGGGTCAGTTGTGATAGGGCAAGTGATACTGGTTTTAAACTACGAGAGGCTAGATTTGGACTAGATATAAGGAAGAAATCTTTTATGATGAGGGTGATGTAACGCTGGAATAGGCTGCGCACAGAAGATTGCCGTGTTTGCCCCATCCCTGGAAACATTTAAGGTCAGCTTGGATGGGGCTCTGGGCAGTTTGATGTAGTTGAAGACGTATCTCCCTTCTCATTGCAGGGCAGTTGGACCTGAATGACCTTTAAAGGTCCCTTCCAATCCAAACTATTCTGTGATTCTGTGACACAGCCATGCACATCTGCACACCCCCTTCAGAAGGCTAGCTGGTCTGACAGAGAACGCCTTTCAGATGTGACTTACCTTCTCTGAATGACACCACAGAGTCCCAGAGTACGAGGCACTGTGCATCTTTATTTCTAGTGACTAAAACTGGCAATGGTAAAGGCTTTATGGCTCTGAGCATTCCCGGTTCTGGTGCAGTCCCCAAAGACACAAAACCAGAGAAAGAGCGAGTGAAAGCGAAGCGCAACAATTAGTAAGTTCACTCACCAGAAGGCCATTTGCATGTGCTGTTGCCAGTTGCTGCTCCACTTAGCCATTACAAGCTATTTTGGCAAGCAGGGTGTGCTCACTGGTGTGGCCTAACGCTGCCCTCCTTGCTGTGTGTTTTGTCCCCATCCTCCCCCAGTTCTGTGTATTACGTGACAGTCTCTGCCAAACAGCGTTAGTACATTAGCCACTTCTCAAACGATTGCTTCCCCACTGGGCAGGGTCTCTTCAGAGCGAGAGGACGGAGACCGCCAGCCTCTCAGCTCCAAAGAGATTTTTCCCCTCTCCAGTCAGTGGTATTCCCTGAGCCCTGCTGATGAAAGACACAGATGTGTCTGCAGAGGAGCAGCTCTCAGTGCCTGCCTCATTCCCCAGAGCCCTCTTCAGCCAGTTTGATGTCTAAGTGGAAGGGAAGAAAATAAGCTGACAGTGGGGTTACCACCCAGATGATTTTCTGAATTGATTAGCTGCTTTTTCATAGGTCTCACAGCCATACAAACAGCCACCTCGTTGGATCTCACAAGCTAAGTAATGACCTCGGCTAGGAGAGCTCCAGAGAAAGACCAGCCATAATGATGTGCTGCTCCCCTATGAAAGAAACAAAGGAAAAGCCAGGGGAAAACAACATGAAGGGAACTAAATAACAGCTAGATAGAGGCAAGGAAAATGCAGCTTGCAAGACTGAGACGAAAAATAAGCACCTTTCAGCAGCAGCTGCAATTTGTGTGTAAAGGGCTAGGCAGGCAAGGAAAAGAGAGCTCAAACCACAACTTTTCGAGGTCAAGCCTGTGAGCACAGGGCAGGCTCAGCAGCAGCTGAGGGCCTTCTTTGGGTGTGTTATGTTAGAGGTGATGAAATAAAATCCAGATCCCTTCAAGCTGTCATGTGCTGGCCAGCCCACTGCCACATGTGGGATGGCAAGGAGCAGCCTTAGCAGCTCCGGCCATGACCTCCCTGACAAGCACTGCCCCTTAACCCGGGCTTCTGCACCCTAAACCTTCCCAAACAAGCAGCTTTTAGCTCAAGTGGACGCTGTCCTTGCCACAGACCTCTCCACCAGTGACTGCCCCCTGTTCCCAGCCTCTCCCCTGCTGCCTTAGGGTGGGAGTGGCAGGCAAAGCACTGGCTGTCAGTGCACACTGTCTGTCTGTCTGTCTGGGGTCTTGCACCCCGGTGGCAAAACCTCTGGGATGTGTAAACAGAAAGGGCCAGGACAGGACTGCTGAGCCCAGCAGCCATATTAAGGCTTCCTCAGTTTCTCCCACCATTTCTGAAAGAGAAAGCTCTCCTTCAGCAACCTTGGGCAGCCACACTCATGGGAAAATGGCATCACAGGCAGGGAGGGTGGGTGAAGCCCTCTCTGACTGCACTGCTGAGCACTTTGGAGTCCACAAGTGTCCCACACAAAGCCTGAGCTTCACATGGCTCTGAGCAGAGACTGCCACTGGGGCACGCTCTGCTGGACTCCACAGAGCTAGTGGGCAATTTAAGAGGGGTGAGTTGTGGAAGTGGGGAGGCCTAGGCTGGGCTTCAAAGGACTAAGCTCATTTAGATCAGATACTGAAAATCTATCTTTGAAGGGAAACAAATGGTCCAGCCTTCCTTATCTGTTGCTCCTGCCTCCTCATACCCCAGAATAATGCAGATTAGAAGAGGGCGGGTGAGAAGGGTGCTGTGGAGCTTCATCTCCTTGCTCTTTTCCATCTGTGCTGTGCTATCCTGCTAGAGGTTTTTATTAAAAAAAAAAAAAGCTGGAAATAAAATCTACACACTCTATATTCCCTCTGCAAATGCCCCAGCCCAGAACTGCAGCCTGCTGCTCTCAGTGCCTCTAATTAGCTAAGCAAGGCAAGCACTCATTAGCCCCACCTGGGTCACTCTGCAATTGGGAAAGGGAGCATTAACCCCCACATGGCTCCAAAATAAATAGGTGAGAGGCAGATTTGTTCCCTATGGCTGCCTGTCCTGGCAGCAGGGCCCTGGAACAGAGTGCCTTTGGGTGGTGGTGCTGGGAGGGATGTCAGTGCAAGGAGGTTGGATGTGCTGACAGTGCTCCTCTGCAGAGTCCCATCTCTCCCAGGGAGGTGCAGATTTGGAGGGGAACTTTGGGAGGGCCAAGTGTTTGTTAAAGCACCACAAAGCACAGCACTGCAATTTTAGCTGCTCTTGTGCTTGTGAGTGTTTTGCAGGTAGTGTCTCCCAGAGTATATTTGTGTGGGGATAGAGGGAGACTCTGGCATTATGGGTATGACTGCAGTGACAGAGTTTGTTTTGACACTGATCTGCTTTTTAATAGCCATAACTTCAAAGACCTAAGCAAAGCCAGCTGCCATCTTAATTAAAAAAATTAATGTGTTTTTTGCTAAAATTACAGCATAAGGGATAAGTGAATGCCAAAACTATTCCCTTGTGCTATCATACAACTATTTCTCTCCTTCTAAGTCAAGGTTTTTCTGCAGATCAGGTATTTTTTTTTCAGCTGTGGTTGTGCATCTGGCCCTAGTCTAGAGCCCAGGGTGACAAGTACAACACATACACATGGGATGAATCAATCACTGTCTGAGGCTGTCTGTAGCCTTTAAGTAAAGACACTTACAAGCTGGATTCACCCAAAGAGGGCAGGTGGGGTAAGTTTTAGAACAGAAATAAATGTGTGGCTCCTTGTTCAGTGAAGTCCATTATTATTTTTAGGAAATTGGTGCTAAACCATAGAAGGCATCTCTCTGGGAAAGGACAAGAGAGGAACAGGAGCATCTGTTCTGCCTGCAGACAGGAGATGGTGAAGATCTCTGAGTGGCAGTAAGTGCTGAAAAGAAAATATGCCTCTGTCCTTCTCTCTCTGTTACAAAGAAACAGCATGGGGCACAGCAGCTGCAGCAGGAAAGGAATGGGGAGTGCTTAAAATACTTCTTGACTCTGACTGAATCTTGGGGCTGCAGGAAAGTCCTGACTTCCTGTGTGTCCCCCACCCCACACGTGGGATGAAATTTGGGGCAGGGAAGGCCAGCGGTTGAGCCCAGCATGAAAGATCTCTTTTGGGATTGGAAATTATATTAAGTATACCAAAAGTACGCTATTCTGCCTCTTCTTCATCCTTTGCAATCAGGGCAGCAGTTAGGGAAACCCCCTGAGTTTCCCAAGGCAGGCCACAGAAATGATAGTACAGCAATGAGCCACTAAACCAGCAAGGGAGCAGTGACCACAAGTCACCGCCTGGCCACTGCTCACAGGCTTTTTTTTCCTGAGAATCATTTCTCAAGAGGCGTTGATCACAAGTATGGAGATACCAGGAATAGACGTAAGAGGCTGACAGCCATCAGCCTGAGATACCTAGTGGCCTTCTGGGTACAGCCAGCAGGAAAACCATTCTTCCCCAAGCCCTGCCGTCTCTCATGCCACTTCAGGTGAAGGGCCAAACAGTTGGCCCAAGATGCTGGAAAGCTCCTCACTCAGCAGCTTTGAGATTTCTGTGCTGTTCCCTAAGCAGAAAGGTTTAAAAAGGATTAGTCTACATGGGATTTGTGCGTGCATACCCAGGTACGTGTTCGTGCACACGCAGGCCTCCTCACGTTATTAACACCGTAGGAATGTCTTGCCCACCCTGACCCCACAGGCTGTCAAGGTAGCAATAAAGCCTAAGCATGGCTATGAGTGATATGGAGTCTGTAACTCACAGTTAAGCAGATCTTGTAGTGAACAGTGACATATCTGGCAGTTCATTACAGCACTTGCTGCCTCCCTCTATGGTCTTCCACCTATAGCATTAAGGGCATTTAACAGATTGCATAAAATTGCATACAGCTACAACTATATATTAACATCATCATTTCACAGACAAAGATCTTGAGGCGTAGTGATCACTGCTGATCACTACTAACAGCAGTGAAGAAAAAAATAAAGCGTTACTATTTATGCTAGCTCTTTCCCTCCTGTATCTTTTTCTCAGCTGGATGAAAGGAATTAGTTTGGCTGGTTTTTCTTTTATTTCAAATTTTCTTTCTGTTTCTTAATCTTCCTCAGCATGGTCTTCAAAGTTGGGGTTGGAAAGACTGCGGGGGAATTTTGGTTGTCAGTTTGGTTTATATTTAATATCACTGTTGTAATGGTATCCGAATATTTTGCTAAATGAATATTTGCTTGGTTTTGCTTTCAACTTGATTCCTATGATGCTACTTCAGACAAATGGTAACCATCTCCTATAGAAAAGAAAAATCAGTTGAGAAAAACCATGCTTGGTAAGATGAAGGTAGAGTTGTGATGGGTATTTAGAGACTCTAATTTACATTAGAAAGAGAGGAGAGGAGAAGAAAAGCAAAAGTACTGAAGTTTTGCCTCTCAAAGCAAAGAGATGCTCCACGAAATGGTGGCCTTGTGGGGCCCCCTTTGGAGAGGACAGAACCAGAACCAGTAATCATTTAGGCCTCAGCCTAGAGCTCCTGGGCCACCTGGTACTTGTGGCCCCAGGGCTGGCAGTAGAGCAAAAGTTGCAGTCAGATGTTATCTGCCAGCAGACCTGCTGATGGACCTGGAGAGGTGGGAAGCAGGCTCATTCCTGCAGCATGCAGTGGCTGCTTAGAAGCTTAAACAAAAGAACACCCAAAAACTTATATATCATGACTCCAAACCAAAAAGCTCATTGAATAGGTCCCACAAAAAATCTCTCGGGTGTTTGCAATGAGCAATGCTTTATCCCCCTCTGGCTTTGTTCCTGTTTCCAACAAAGGCAGCAGCAGACTGTTGTTACTGCCTGTGCCCTTGGGCCAACAAAGACTGGTGACCAGGACTCAGGCAGATGAGAGTCACTCTGGCAAGGACAGGCACACCCACACCAGCTCGACAGCCAAGTGCTAACAGGGGTGTGGATACTTGTTGCTGATAAACCAAATTCATACTCGAGTGGGCTGGTCCAGCTTGTGCTGCTGCCTCTTCTCTGCTTCTCTACATGTGCTGGCTTGGAGACATGCTGCCTGTCCCACTTCACTCTGAACACACAAATGTTTGGCAGGAGGTGCCTGAGTGGGGTATGGCTCAATATGTGCATTCAAAAAATGCCTGCCCAGCTCCTGCCTCTTCACAACCCCCAGATCAAAGAGCAGGACATGAAGTATGGCAGGCAGCTAGGCAGTGCTTCTTGACAGATGATACCCTGCAAAAAGAAGGGTAGCTTTTGCTTCTCTGCTTTTCATAGGGTCTCACCCAGAGAAGCAGCAGGATGGCCCTGGTCTTGTGGTGTGCAAATTTTATATCATAAACCTCTCATACAAGGTAGGCGGGAGAGCACTTCTCTACCACATCTCCCTCATGCTGGTGCATGTGCCCAAGCAGTGTGTTTGGGAAAGAGCAGGTGTTGGAAGCCAAGTGGGCCAGGACAAGGTGACCCACCTCATCTATTCATGTTAGGACACTAGAGCTGCATGCTGCCACTTCCCTCTGAGGGCTTGCAGCACCCATCTTGTCTCTGGAGACTTTACCCTATCCTCTCTGACCACTGATCAAAAGTACAAAACATGTTCCATCCAGAACCATCTCTGCAGTAGGTACTAACAAGCCATTTTTCCTCCTCCCAGCAGTCCAGCTGCCTTTAGCATAGACTGTCCACAGCAGGGCACATTTCACCACAGAGGGGGAAGATTAATTTTTCTTCCAGGTGAAGCTGTCTGGAACTGCTTTAAGACCAGCAAAATGCAACTGCTCAGCTTACAATGTACCCAGAGCACATGTGCCAAAACACTACCAGGGGATTTTTAACCACCAGAACTGGCTAGAACCTATATACAATATTACATCTTAAAACATAGCATTTCTGGAAACTCTATCCCTTTCCCTCTCCAAACTCACACCTGTTCCCCCCTTTCCCCCCCCACCAGCACCGTGCTGCACTTGGTTCAGCAGTGACCAAGAGGGAATTTTACTGGCACTGGATGTGCTTGCTGTGCTCTCCTGGGTCTCCCATGGAGGCCTCCCATCCCTTACAGAGTCTGCCCACCTTACAAGAGCTTGCACAAACTGTTCTTTCCCTCCATGGAGTCCATGTAAGGTAGCACACTTCATGTCACTGGTGGGAACAGCCCTCACTGGGTGTTTGTGGTGACAGGAGGTGGTAGGAGGATTTGCTCTTTGCCTGATGTGCTGGCTCTCTGATATAAGTTCCTTAAAACCCCCAGGCTCAGCTGTGACTCACTGCTGGTATTTGATCATATTTTCAGAGAAGGATTAATTATGCTTTATTGCTTGTTCACATAATGGACCAGTATCATTTAGGCTGGAAAAGGCCTTTAACATCATCAGTTGCCATTACCCAGCACTGCCAAGCCCACTACTGAATCATGCCCTGGTGCCACATCTACATGTCTTTTAAATACCTCCACTGTTGGTGGCACAATCACTTCCCTGGGCAGTCTTTTCCAGGGCTTGACAACCCTTTGGGTGAAGAAATCTTTCCTAATATCCAATCTAAACCTCTCGTGGCACAACTTGAGGCCATTTCCTCTTGTCCTATGACTTGTTACCTGGAAAAAGAGACCAACACTTGCTTTCAGGTAGTTTTTGAGAGTGATTAGGTCCCCAGTGAGTGTCCTTATCTCCAGGCTAAGCAACTCGAGCTCCCTCAGCCATTCCTCCTAAGGCCCATTCTTTGGAGGAGGAGGAAGGAGATGTGCCCCATAATTTAGTGACCATTCATTCTAAATGAGAAGGTTAATAGCTTGACCACTTCATATTTTAACCCCAAGCCTTTTCCCTCTCTAATTGTAAAGCATAATGGGTTTTATTTCCATACAGCAGTTCCCTGTGGGGCTTTGTCTAGATGTATAAATCAAAGCTTTCCTGCCACGTTTTGGAGCTTGGGGACAGATTCTGCCTTCACCCGGAGCCTAAAGTGGGGTCATCCCCACAGCTGCCAGCAGTTACCCCATTTTGTCTGCATATTGCTGGGAGAGGTCCCTGGGAACAGGCAAGGCAAAGATGGCCACTCAGATAACTGGCAGGATGGTTGGGTGCCGAGTGCTTTTGCAAATGATACTGTTGATCGGGCTGATTAACTTCAAGTGGTTGGGCTTTTTGATGCCGGGATGTAGCAGGGCAGAGAGCATCTTGGGGGCTGGGGCAGACAGGCAGAGCTGCTGGCATACCTCCCTTGCTTCTCAGCAGGAAAATGAGGCTTAGATATGGGGATGAACCAGGAAGGCTGGTTGTGGGAATCCCAAAACTCAAAAGCTATTAAGTGCAGAAGAAAGAATAAATCAGCTGGCCCTCCTCCCTGCCAGTGCAGGCCTTTCTCCATTACATACCTACTTGTATTTTCATCAAGTTACACGTTTAAAACAACTCAGGTGCCTCCACGGGAGCAACTGTTCTACCACAGACAGGTGATTTGCAGCAGGATCTCATCTTGAACTCAGGGGAAAGCAGAGGTACATTGGCAGAGCTGTTTGGGAAGCTGGGAACAGAAGCCTAGATGTTCTTCTGGGCAAGACTGTGATCCATTTATCAAAACGCTGTTCAGGAGCCTACGGCATCCCTCCTGCCTAACTTTAAGGAGCGCTAGCAGGTTTTATTGATATCCTATCAGCATGGGAACCCCTGGAGCTGAGCCTCAAGTGTTTGCTGAAAAGTGGTAAAAGAGAACCAGCTGAAAGAGTCAGTGGATGACAGTGCCACTAATGGCACAAGCAGGTCTTTTCTTTTTACTTCTACACTGCTGGTTTTAACTGCGCCAGTGACCAAGAGAGGTGACGAGCCGCTGTCATTGCGTGGCCTGTTTTAAATACATCATTATGGCCTAAATCCACATCTCTGAAAGCCTCTGAACAGTGGAGTTGCCATGGAGGGCATAAGGGCTCTATCTGCCAGGTAGGGTTCCTTTCCAGCAGATAGTTTTTTCAGGAGTAAGGAGATCACTGCCATGCAAATCATGTCCAGCAAGCAATCCTTTGGACACCTTTAGAACACTGGTTTTCATGGTGATTGGAGATAACACCTTGAACAAGCACCTGCAAAACCATACCATCATCCCAAGCCCCCTGGTCCTGCTGCCAGGTCTGTTGTCATAGCCACCAAGGTCAAGGCTGTGCTCCCATAGAGGTTTCCCTTAACTGGTGTTAGGAAAGGCTGAGTATCTCAAAACTCCCTAGTTACAAGCAGGACTGTTCTAGGAAAGGTTTGAAGATGACTAACCAGATTAGTCACTAGCTCTTTTTCTTTGAGGCTGGGCACCTAAAATCACGCTATGAATCTGACAGCCATTCCCTATTTTGATCTGCCTACAATCATTTTACTCTGAGTGATTTCACAGGTTTTGAAAGTCTTTCATGGACTTTGGTCTCATTGAGACCTGCCTGGATTATTTATGCCAGAGGAAGTGATCCTAGCTGTTCTTGCGCTGAAACAAACCTTGTGTCTAAATAATTTAAATTGTGTTTGTCCTGAGTGAATTTAATTATACATACTAAATAAGGCAAATCAGTAAAAATTCAGTTTAACTGTTTCAAGAACAGCTAGATTAGGAATCTGGAAATAAATCAGTTTTGTTACATGTCAGGGGGACTTTTCTACAAGTAGGGCAGACCTCATACCAAAGCCAATACCAGGAATGTCAACTCCCTGCCTTTGGTATTTACAGAGAAACTGGATTAAGTTGCTCCACCTCATCTATAATAATAATGTTTAGCATGTAAGTAGCATTTTACAATTTCAAAGCAATAAACATGGAGATACCATGGTAATGAGAACTGACAAGGCACTAGCATTAACTAATTAAGCCTCACAACTTCCCTGAGGTATCTAAATACGACCACTCTCATTTTATAGATGAGGAAAAAATACATGAATTGATTTACTTTAAGGCACAAAGAAATTCAGTGAAAGAGCTGGAACCACGACTCAGTCCTCCTAATGTTTGGATGGCTGCTCAGCCCTCCATGAGGCTCTGCCTAATTTCTAGAGCCGTGCATCAGTGTAACCTCATCTCATTCTTAGCAAGATTTAGAAATAAATTACTTTTAATTTCTGCTGACTGCTATGGAAGGAGTGGGATTTGAATATCTCCCTAGCCAAATGTAGCAGCAATAAGTGGAGGTATTGGTGAGGTTGGAAGTGGATGCTGGTGAGGTCATGACAAGTTAGCGCTGGGGAGTTGCACTCACCGCAGAAGCAGAAGTAGCATAGCAGGAAAAGCAACTAACAGGTGGGTGTCAAATGAAGTGCTGGGAAGGTCTGCCTTAGCCTAAACCACCACAGGTTTTGCCTCTCCACCCCCCCCCGCCCCCACCAGCTGCGGGAATTGGAATGCACACAGCCATCCCATTTTTTAATTTGGATGGGCTTAGTGGTTTACATCAACCCTGAATCTGGCCCAGAAACCTCCGCTGGGAGCACAGCTTTGGCACCAGCACTGAGCAGGAACCGTCTTGCTCCGTGCAATAGATACTCAGCACTTCTCGGAGTGTGTGAGATCAGCAGCTTTAGATGAGAAATCAAGCTTTCCCTCATGTCTTTAGGTCCAGCCTACAGAAGGCTGGTTACAACAAAGAAAATTTCAGCTGCACTGCCAGCTCTGCTTTGATACCCCTAATCCCAATCTAAGAAGGTGTTGAACAGAGAACTGAATCATTATGGCTTGTAAGCAAAATGGTCTTTTAATTCCCCTGAAGGAATATAGTTTTTCTCTCCTGGAGTGACTGATGAGGAGCTCCTCCCTGCATGGAGCACTGCCCTGCTGTGGAGCATCCCCTGCATTTCATCTGGGGCTGTTCTCTTTGCTTGTGAGTGCCTTGCCTCTCCAGCACGCTGCACCTGAGCCAAATAAGCTTAGGCTGGGTTGGTGAATCCCAGTAAGCCTCTCCCTGGGTGTTCGGAGGCAGCCTACAGGAACCAGTACCAGAGCACATGGTACATGTATCAGCACCATTGCTAACCAGTGGTCTGGAAACAATTAAAGTATCTCTTTGTTTATGCCGTAGCATTGCTGCCTGTGGAATAGCTGTGGGCAGCAGAAGTAGAGACAACAGACCTGGAGAGACATAAAAGCTTCGGTGTTTGTGTGACTCTCTGCTCTTCTTCCCACCAAGGTTTCTAGGGCAGATCACCAGCTCCCCGTCTTGTTTTGTGGCCGTTCAAGCCAGTCCCTGTCTGACTTGTCTCTCTGCCAGATGTACAGGCCAGTGCTCAGCAGCAGCTGTGAGCATGGCTGACCACAAACAAACCCATACGCGGTGGGCCCCTCTCAGTGCGACTCTTTGGGGAAGACATGGAAAGATCCAGATTCCCTGGCTTCAAATCCATTGCCACAAATTACTGTTCGCCTGTTGATTGCTCTCTAGGGGACAAAACATCAAGTTACAACCTGTGGTTTTCAGCCCCGATGGATTAGGGGCAGAAAATCTGTTGAGACCTAAGGCTTAGATCTGTTGGTTTGATATGTAGTTCAGTAAAGCACATAGGAGAGGAGATATGATTGAAGGTGCTTTGCCACATCAGTGCCAGCCAAATTCCCAGTAGGTAGATGCTTTCTGACTAAGAGAGTGAATGCAAGCTAGAAAGGCTCAATGTTGCTAATTCTCTGCCTAAACCAATGGTGATGTGTGTAACTGCTGTTATGCTTCATGGAAAGTGTAATGTGAAAATGCTTCCACTTTCCAATGGTTTGCTCAGCTGCAAATAGTGTTGTGAAGTAAATATCTGGATTTTTACAAAGAGCATCGATCAGTTTTTCAGATGCCAGGCCAGGTTCTTGGGAGTGACTGCTTTCACTTTATCTTGTACATTGAGCAAAATAAATGTGCACATCCAGGAGACAAAACAAATACTGCGTGGCACTTTTGCAATTGCACCCTCCAAGGCATAGCAGTTGGGTCTGCACACGAAGAGTTGGAGAATTCTGACCAAGCAACAGGCTCTTCAGCAGATGAGCCTCAAGCAGGCTGCAGAAATCATGGAAAACCTTCTGCTGACTCAAAGCTAAAGAGAATTGTTTGTGTCTTAGCTAAATCTGAAGCCCTCCTTGCGTTAGCTGAAGTTTAAATGTAGCTGTACTGATACCATATATCCAACTTCAGCAACAGACCTGTGCAAGCTGGTTCACTGCATCACAGTGGCAAAAAAAAAAGTGAGAATGCCAGTTTTCTCTTGTTCTCCTTTTTCCATTTCCTGTCTCCTGAGCTTTCTCACACTGCTCAGGAAGACCCTGTGCTTGCTCGTGGCCCTGCTGAGCAGCTGCCTGAGCCCTCCATTCATTTTCTACCTTAACAGTTGGCTCTCCTTGTCATTGACTTCCTCATCTTTCCCCTTGATAAGTTAAATTTTTACCTTGTTAGGCTGCTTTGATCCAATATTTTCTACCTTCCTCATCTCACCTTCTTATTCAACCCTTCATCATCTCACTCACCAGCAGAGCCTCCTGTTTGACCTTGCCTTCACTGGGCATTTCTTCATCTTTCTGCATTCAGCTTCTCCTCCATGACTTTACTATCTCTCTCAGCTGCTCACAGCTCTTTCTCTCTATTCCTCACAGCATTCCTGCTCCTTCTATTCCGCAAGTGTTTGTGACTACAAACTTTTCATTACTCCCTGCTAATGAGAAAGGAGATGTATTTACTTCCCACCTCTCACAGTATTTACCAGTTTCTCTCATCTCCTGCTTCCCTTGTGTCTTTCTCATCCCACACAGTCTGTTAACTACACCAATGTCCTCTATTTCAGATCTATTTTGTTGTCCTTCAACCATTCATGCCTCTTATTTCAGCCTCTTGTGTGCCACTGCTTTCCCTACCTGTAAAATAATAACTAGTGGCTCAAAATAAAGAATTATCAAAATGCAACATGACACTTCTTCTGTGATCCCTCTGGCTGCCTCCATGATGCCAGTCCCACCACTACCCAGAGAAATCTGTGCCCCCATTTTCACTGTACGTGCCTCAGTTTCCTTGATTTGTCGTCTGATTCAGAAAAGCAGATCAAGGGATTAAAGCCAGACCTCCAACGCTAAGTACTCGAGTCCAATCTTTGCTCTGCTCAGGAAGGCTTTTCAACTGCGATGTGTAAACCACAAAATGTCTTTGCTCAGGAGGCCTTGAACAGGGAACAAGGAACTTGAAGATGGAGCAAAATATGAAGAGTCCTAGAAGGTAGAAGTGGGCTGGCGTGAAAGTAGGAGGCTAAATCACACCTGTCTTCTACTTAATAAGTCAGAGAGCAAAAAGAAGCAAAGGCAGTGAAATTTGCTGGTGCTAGATTATTGAGGGAAGTCAAAACAAAAAGAGGAGAAATAAAATTCAGACATGCTAGAACAGGGAGATGAAGCAATTCACACAGAGAAATGCACAGGTTCTGTTTTGAAGAAATGTTGGGTTTAATCTATTCTTAAATCATTTCCCCTGAATTAGGAAAACTTGAACCTCCAAAATCTCTGGCCTTCTGAACAGAATCCAAGGTTTATTCAAGAGCACTTCTGCAATTGCTTTTGAGTCCTTATGAGGGAAGACTGTGGGTCTCCTGTACCTAGTTTATAGAAACCTAGTCAGTCAGGCTTTAGTTTAAAGCCATGATGTGGAAATACAAGGAAGTTAAGAAATTTTTTTTAAAAAGATCCTTATTAATGATAATATCAATTCAGCTGTTGAGGAACTGAGGAACTGACTTGTACCTGTCAGTAATCCATCCTCTTTCAGACATGGGCTACAAGAGATCTAATATTCCATTTAAGCTTTAAATCAGGCACAGGTGGCAGGTCTCTCTGGAGAAAGTGGAAAGCATTCCTCCTTTGCTTCTGTTCCTAGGTGAAATGATTTGTCATACAGGAATGGAGACATGCAGTCCCTGCATCTCTACAACCTTTTTATTTGCATTTGGCATTTTGAATTTGGCTTCTTTTTTTCTCAAGAAAATGAGCTCAGAAATCTGGCTCTACATGGTAGGACTCAATCCTCAGCCAGTTTGGGAAGAAAGGAAGAGAAAAAGCCCAGAAAGTAAGGGAGGAGTGTAAGTATGGAGGGTAATGCGCAGTCAGGTTTGGTAATTGAACTGACAAATCAGTGGTAGGGGAAGTATTACCAACAGCCCAGAAAAAAAAGATGATCCAAATGGAGAATATAGCATACTGGGAAAGGACACTGGTCAGAGCAGGCTTTGGTTTTGTTAGTTATAAGCAGGAAATTCATAACCAAAGGTGGATTGGAAGGAAAGAAGCAGATGGATCAAAGAAAAGGAAATGCCATATTGTAGCCACCAAGTCTGATTATGTTGAACAGCAGTGGGAGAGCACAGATTTTTGTGCTTGAGCAATGAATCGACAGAAGTGATTTCAGACCAGTGTAAGAATCTAAAGCAAAGTGGAGCAACCTTAAGTGATTGTGAGCAGCCTCAGCATCCTTGCATAAAAAAAAAAATATAAAACACACTCCAATAGAAATAATGGGGACGATAGAGGGAGCCAAATTAATTCAAAAAAAGTTAGGTAAAATTGGTACCATAGCTCCTCCGACAAAAAGAGAGATTAGGAGTCTTCATTAAAGTCCACAAAATTCTTAGTGGGATAGAGAGTGGGAATACTACAAAGCTATTTGACCTGGTGTCAAGAACAAGCAAAGATGCGTCAGTTAAGATAAGCCACAGCTGGACATTACAGGAATTCAGGGAGGAATGTCAGCTTAGAGCAAGACAGAAATGCAACATAAACTCCTCTTACATGGCCAGAGGACAAAAAGTTTGCTCCATGGAAGAAGTGGGCATTAGGTAATATTGTAGAGTTCTGTAACTGGCCCAAAGGAAACTGAGGATTCATCACCCTGAGATTTCTCAGGCAGAACTGCTGGTATTTTATAGTGATCCTGTATGTTGACAGAGTGCTGTGAGTTAGCTTGCCCTCTCCTCTCAGCAGTCACCCTGCTGGAGCTGGTTCAATCCAGTGCCAGAAGACACAATACACAAGAGATCCGATACTGTCTTGCTCAAGATCAAGTCTTGCAGTCATTGTGCCTTGAAACACAGTCAGGGTTTTATCATAACATACCGGTCTTCTGCAAGCAGTAAATTAACTAAGTCAAAAGATTTTGGGGAAAACAGAAGCAAAGACTGTGCTTAGAAAGTTAACTAATAAATTAATTTAAAAATAGTGAACATTTTGGCAAAAACCTTGGTGGGGAAGGTCTAGGAAATCCGTGCTCTGTGTGTGAAATTTACAGCAAAGGAAAGCAAGGTCTGTGTCTGAAGAATGATACAGGGTGCCTGATGCTACCTCTTATATCTTATCCTTCTTGCCATTCCATTTCTCAAGTGACCCTCACAGCCCCCTGTAGAGCACAGCAATTGCCATACCAGATCAGCCCAGTAGCCATCCTAATCCAGCCTTCTCAATTCAACAGTTGCTACTCTCTGGTACTTCAAAGAAAGGTGCAAGAAACCCTGTAGTGGACAATTATAGAATAACCTGCCCACAAGGGAAGTTTCTCCCTAATCCCCCGCCATCAGTTAGTGGTTATGTTGTGCCTTGAAGCCTGACAGTTTATATCCCTCCTAAAATTTATTTATATCCTGTCTAATGTGACCATGAATGTTCTTGGGATCCATATAAATGTCTAATCCTTTTCTGAATCCTGCTAATCTCCTGGCCTCAATGAATCCTCATGGTAACAAATGCCATGTGTTAATTACACATGGCACAAATATTTCCTTGCACCATTTTAAATTTGCTTCCTTCCAATTTCACCGGGTATCCCTTGATCCCGCAAAATTAAAAAGGGCAATGAAATTAGAGCTTGCTCATTCTTGCCGAGCCACACTGCTGTCTCTTGATTTGTTTCTTCTCCAAACTATCTGTTCCCACCCTCAGCGAGTTTTCCCTGGTTGGGCTGTTGAGCTGTGGCCTATGGCACAGCAAAACACTACGGCTGCACATTCACACAAGTGGCAACCCTGCGCCCTTGGCTGGTTGGAGATGGCACTAGAAATGGTGTGGAAGTGTAATGTGTGAAGGGTAGAGGATAAAAATGAGAGTGTTAACTGAATGAAGGAGAGGAAGTGCTAAAAAAGTGGGAATGGTATTAAAATGATGAGGGAGGGAGGTCAGTCCTAAACTGTTTTTAAACATCAGTTTTACAGTGGTTTCACTGGAGGGAGGACCCCAAGCTGAGGCAGCTGTGAACAGTGATCCTTTGTATCTGTTTTGAAGCTGGGCTGTGGCAGCAAACTGAGAGGTTGTGAGGTGACGCAGCGACAGCCTGCAAGGCCAGTGCAGCTTGGTGTTTTCGCTCAAGCGCCATGAGGGACGTACCACACGAAGGTAATTAAAACCTACCTGCTGCTAAATACGTTTCCATAACACGGTTCCAAACAGGGCAGCGTAGCTCCCCTCGTTTCGGAGCCAGGACAAACGGCGGCCCGGGCGTGGGGCTGAGGCACCGGAGCGCCTCAGGGCGGAGGCGCGTGTCCGGCTCCGCGTGGCGGTCGCGTGCGGGACGCGAGAAGCGCCGCCTGGGCGGCAGAACAACGCGAGAGGAGAAACCCTGCTTCGCTGCAGCAGCACCCGGCCCCGGCAGCTCCGCGGCATTCCCGGTGACCAGCCAAGGGATCGGGATAGGGACAGGGAAGGGCGAAGGAGCCGCGTGCGAGCCCAAATCGACCGGCGTCACCGCCCCTCCGGAGCTGGCCCCGCCCCTTGTGGGCGTGGCCGGGCGGGCGTCGGGGGCCTGTTGTTGTGGTGGACGTGGGGCCCCGCCCCCTCCTCGTGCAGGGCCGCGCCCCGCCCCGCGCGCCCCGCCCTCGAGCCTTTCGTCCCCTCCCCACATCCCGCCCCGCAGGGACGGCCAGGCCCCGCCCACCGGCCCGGCCTGCCCCCCCATTGGCTGTCCCGCCAACAGCCCCGCCCACCCCGCTCCCGGGACCCCGCCCCTCCCCTCGCGCCCCCCGGTCCTCCCCCTCCCCCCTCCTCGCGCCCATCTGTTCCCGGTGGCTCCTCCGCGGGGCGCGGGGGGCATGAGGAGCGGGGCGATGATGATGATGGGCCCGCGCGGCGGTGGCGGCCGCCCGCGGTAGGGGGGGACAGCGGCGGCGGCAGAGGCGGCGGCAGCAGCAGCAGCTCCAGCAGCAGCGCCCCCGCCGGCCCTGAGCCGCCCCGTGCGCGGGCGGCAGCGAGGGGGCAGCGCGGGGCCGCCGGGGGGCGGCCGCTGAGCGGCGTGTGGCGCCGGGGGGCGGGCGGAGCCGCAGCGCCGAGCGGCGGCACCACCACACGCAGCCGCCCGTGGAGTGAGGGGAGGCAGCGACTGAGCGGGCTGGACGGCGGCCGCGGGAGATGTGCCCGGAGGAGGACGGCGGCTGCGGCGGCGGCGGCGGCAGCGTAGCCGGCACCGGCGGCCCCGAGGCGGCGGCGGTGGCTCTGGACGAGCTCCGCTCCTGGTGGGAAGTCCCGGCCATCGCGCACTTTTGCTCGCTCTTCCGCACCGCCTTCCGCCTGCCCGACTTCGAGATCGAGGTGAGAGCCCCCGCAGGCGCCGCTCCCCGTCCCGCCGTGTCCGCGCCCCCGCCCGGCGGGTCCCGCACGCCTCTCCGCGGTCCCGGCCGTGCGGCGGGGGGCGCTCCCGTGGCCCCGGCGAACCGCTGGGTCCCGGCGCGGTGCAGCGCGGGGGACTCCGCTCCGCTCACGGCGCACCCGGCAACTTCCCCGTCGCTCCCGGGAGTGCCCGCAAACTTTCGGCGCGGCCGTCCCGGGGCAGGAGCCCCCCGGGTCCGGGGCCCTCGGGGCGCACGGCGGGGGCGGCCGCGGGCGGAGCGGGGCCGGGCCGCATTGTTCGGC